TTGTGTATAGGCTTCTGTGAAATATTTGCAATTCTGTCAAGTCATTTTTATTCGATGTGTCCAAATATGCATAAAAATACCATGATAAACCCAGCCGGTGTCTCCAACTTAAATATTGAATTTACAGAGATCAAAGTTTGATTCTTCACTCAGTTAACCTTTGATATGTTTATTGATGAACACTGTTTGTTTTTTGACTCGCAAAGATGGGCACACAACCAGAAACCTGTTTGGGCACCTGTCACTTGCAAAAAGGGTGATATGATCATGTTTGGGAGAGGCTTTAACTTACTTACCTCGCCTTTTTTCACTAATGTTCACTAGCACTGCATGTTTTACTGAAACATATGATATGAGGACATTTGCATTCCATCAAATGTTCTAAAAACACATCATCACATTATATTTTACCCAGTTTTTAAGAATTTTGACATGTTAAAACTGTACAAATGCTATTTTGTTTTTTTTAACTATAATCTTGTTCACAGTAAGATTTATTTTGATGAATAAAACTCTTTGAGCCTTATGCTTCATTTCACAAATATCTATACTTAGTCTATAAACAGTTATACTGTTAGTATAAAATATGATAGATGTGACAAAATCTTATCTAGATGTTAAATGTTTCCATATGTCTCAAACTTTCACCTGCACTACACCCACACACACTGCTCCAACTGGTAGGCTATGAGGCGACACCCATAACTGAACCACTCTAAGTCTGACTAAAGGCTTGAACACAGCCTGCAGGGACCGACTGTTATTGAGAGGAACCTCTTCTCCTACACATCTCCAATTTTTCAGTAAGTGATTATCTTGTCTATTGACTCTTTTCCCTAAATTAACTTTTCTTTGAGGTTAATGCTGAAGTGGTCGTACATTCATTGAAAGCAATACTAATGAGAACTATTGATGCTTTCTTTGAGCTTTGTATGGTTAACTAGACTATTCCATCAATCAGTCACTGCACTCAGTGTAGTCAGTGTCATTTTAATTGAGTGTGACTTCAGGTTCATGAACAAAAAGCATAAATCAAGCTTATCTCCGTGTTGTATCCCTGGTTCCTCTGTGTCAAAAACCTGCACATTAGTCTTAGATGAGCAATTTAAAGTCAACCTGAAATGAGCTTGTTAGTTCATGTGTCTGGTCATATTTAGCACAATTCATCATGTTATATCAATTAAAAGACTGAATTAATGCTTTTGTGTAATGTATTGTGTCTACTCCCCATCTCACCACCCTCATCTACCCTCCAACAAAAAATGCTCAGCTATCTCAGAGTCTGTCCCTAAAACTGTGTTTGTGACACTTGGAAATATGTCACAGTATGGAAGAAAAATGTGTTATGATTTATTCTTAGACTATTCTGTGACTAAATCAATCAAATCTGTGTATGTAACTCACAGTCCTCACAATCCTAGCACATATCCAGTATCCTCAGTTTGTGCTCTAACATTATTAATATCAAAACAGTGATAGATTAATGATAAATTCAAGTTTATCCTGAGAAATAAACAGGTTGCTGATTTACTGTTACAACATGCACAGTCATGTACAAAACTTTAGGCAGTGTTTAAATTAATGCATATATCCGTGCATTTACATTATTTATTTCTCACATACCAAAATGTATAATGTATATCTTTGATGTAGTTATTACAAAATATAAAATATGGTTTGTTGCAGGACCTCTGACAGGCACAAGTATGAACCCCAACTACCCACAGCAGCCGGGGCCATATGGGCAGCCTGGACAACCATATCCCAATCCGAATGCTCCTTACGGCAACATGCCGTACCAACCCCCACCCCCACAGCCAGGCCAACCAGGGTGTGGAATAGGAGGTCCATGCAATCCACCCACAGGCCCTGGAGCTTGTCACGGGGGGGGAGGCTGTGGTGCTGGACAGTGTGGTGGGCATGCCCAAGGACATGGGCATGGACACGGGCACGGGCATGGACACGGGCATGGACACGGGCATGGACATGGTCATGGGCATGGACATGAGCACAAGCACGGTCATGGGCATGGACATGGCAAGCATGGGAAAAAACATGGAAAGGGCAAGGTGAAAACTCACTGACGTAAAAGTGAACAGACTCATCCACACAAAGACAAATATGTATAATTACAACATATTACTAGCATGCAGGTGTGTAACTGTTGATGGTATTTGTATGTTATAACATTGTTTGATGTGTTTCATTCTTTCCACAGCATTCTGGAGGCAGCTCTGGCAGTGACTCTGATTAGAGAGTGCATGAAGAAACTCCACATGGAACCTGTCCTCACTGCACACTACGCAAAAGAATCAGCATCATACAGAATAGCTAGTTAATATTTTAAGATGTTTCTGAAAAAAAAGTCACTTAAAAAATGATCAGTATATATATACAACTTAAAAGCTAGCCTTTGTTGTCATATATAAATATATTATTGTTGGCAGTGGGTATCTGAATTATGATCTGTCAAATCTGTATTTATTTACATATGTGCAATTCATTATAAAGCACATTTTGTAAGTTGAATCAAATATGATATGTATACACTGAGATTATATTGAATCTCTCATTCATCTGTATCAGTAAGACAATAAAAGGGTCTCTTACCTTGCCTTCTCTATTTATTTATTATTAAGAACTTCAACAATTTATTATTCGCAGTAAAATGTCTTACATTTTTTTAGGAGTTAAGTAGCTACTAGAAGCTGTATGGTACAGAATGCATTGCAGAACTGAATATTATGTAATTTCTTCAGATGTCAGTTATACTACATAATACACAGTGGTGAAGTGTGATGATTAAAGCTAGGCCTTCAGTTTGGGCCATAAATGTCAAAACTAAGTCAAAAACAAGAAAAAAAGAAACCCCTATACTAATGCTAATGTGTGCTAGTGCTCCTATGGGATTCTAGTACGGTGTGTTAGTGCCAAGCTAATGATGATTCACATGAACATTTTTTTGGCCATAGACATTTAAAGCCTGTAAAACAGACATATCATTTCCCTTGTAGCAGTTTTACTGTGACCCAGTAAAGAGGTCTGGGATATGATCTTTAATGACCTCTTTTGAATTTCTAACAATTGACTTGAATGCATTGGTCAGGCTACCCATCATACTCATGCTTTTTCTCATGAAATTGGTCTCAACTATTGTAAATCAAAACATAATTGGTTGCTTCAACTGTCAGTTCTTAATTATGTTGGTGGTTAAAGCTTCTACAGTTCTAGCCAACTGAAGAGCTCACTTAGCAGTATCTACCTCAACACCAAGCAGGAAAATAAATCCTGGTTGGATCTTTTTCTGCTGGGCATTTTAAGAATTTAACCCTTTTGTTTCCAACCAAAATTTAGTTTAAATACAAGCATCATAAAAATAATGAGTTGAATAAATGAAATAAATGAAAATTAAGTAAAAATTACAGATGGCTGACGTAGAGCATATAGGAATATACAGAGGGGTGTGTCACTGGAGTAAGTAAAGGCTGCTGGATTGTCTCCAGGGTGGAAAAAGTACAGAGAAGCTGTGCTTAAGTGAAACTATGGATATCATGTCAAAATCGTACTCAGCGCAAAGTGGAAGTGTGAGACCAAAAATACAGTTGAGTGAAAGTGCCATTTTTTGTTTGATTGTCTGTTTTTTTCTTTATTAAATTAAAATAATGTTAATACTGAATATATCACCATCTCCGTAACTCAGACTAGTGGCAATGCATTGTCTAAACTTTTTCAACAGACTCTGAAATATTTGTAAAATTCAAATACACTTAAATGCAAAAAAAGTTGGCATACATAGTGTCAACAACTGCCACAGAAACATCTAGACAGTAACGGTCTTTGCACAGAGATGAATTAGTATAGTTGTGGGCAGTTTCACTTTACAATGATATGTTTAATTGGATGCTTGATTGGCAAAAGTAATAACTTAAAAAAAAAAAGAAAAATCTGGACTTTGGGATGTGCAACGAGTGCTTTGAAGGTCTAAATACAAGGGGTAAAAAGTGTGATTTTTTTCCATTGGAAAAGTTTTGAGTCTCAAAAATGCTTGAGTAAAGTACAAATCCTCCAAAATAATATTTATTGTAACCAAGCACAATTAAATATTTGAAACTGTTTTCCACACTAATTGAATTTGAAATTTGACTTTTTACCCATGACTTTCAGGCTTTAGTGACTGTTGAAAGTCACTGCATTGTGGAGCGTCAGGCTCCAAACTACCATCCGCAAAGACAGATTTAAATTACATACACAGTAACTACAATATATTCTTAGTACAGACTCATTTTGCATAGTGATGTAAACTAAAGCAAGCAAGTCCATTTTATCCATGTTAGCAAGCAAGTCCATGTTAGTTTCTAACATACTCATTGAGTATTTTTATGGTAACTTGACCTGAATTATTACATTATGTAATTTAATAACAATATACAAAATAATGAATTATAGTGTATTTTACTTTGTTTTCATGAAACTTTGTTTAAAAATAACTTTTTAATTGTTTGTTTGTTACAGCAGAATATAAACCATTTAAACATGGAAACCATCTTCATTATCTGTCACCTTTGCCTTCCTCGTGACACCTGCTGCCTGCGTATTGGAAATAAAACCAGTTTCATACACACCCCAGAGATCCTTTATATGCTGCACTGAGTACAAAGAATGGAATGTTTTTTAAAGATGACAAATGCGTGTTGATGGATAATTTAGACTGAAAGTTTTCCAGTTTTCAAAATGTCCTGAATATGCTCAAAGTAAATGTAGTCAACTTATAGTCAATATATGAGGGCTGGTAAGTTTAGTTATATGTATGTAAATGAGGGTTTGAAACGCTTGCTCAGTTTGTTATTGGACACATTCAGTTCTTTTATGATGTTGTGATGACCTATTAATCAAGGGACTGAACTTAGATACTAAAAGAGTAAAGTAAACCATTGACTGTCTAAAGTAGTTCTTACTTCCTACATACACATGCAGTGTTGCTGTTGGTGGGTGTTGAGGATGTGTTGGTGTAGGACGTCACCCATAATGATGTCATTCCAGACTTTCAGTATAAAGAGACATCAATGCTTCACTTGGCACCTGTTGTATTCAACTCTTCACCTGGCACCTGGCTGAACACAATTTTCGACTCATCGCTGGTAGCAAGTAGGTTCCCCTTTACTTAAACCATAAGTACCTTTGATGTACATTGTAGTTAATATTCTGTTCTTAGATATTGACATTATAATGGTAAAATCTCTTTAAAAAGAACTAAATTTCACTTTTCTTGGACAACAAACTCTGCATAATGTAGTTAGACTTCTGTTTCTTTCCCATCCCACTCTTTTGCCTACAGGAAGTTTCACAGACCAAATCAGCCGTACTGGGCATGAAGCTGCTGCACTCTCTGCTGGTCAGTGATGTTTATGACTCAAACATATCAAGCCTCATCTTTTCATGGTTCAAGTCCACACAGATGTACTATGTCTGTATTTTCTCATGCCTGTATTTATTTTTTTCTGGGAGTAGTTTTAAATTTGAACATTGCGTTGTGTTATATAGAAACTGATATTGGACTTGTGGTGATTTAAAATATGAAACATTTTTAGGCAACTGAGATCCACAGTAAAAATAACAGAGTCAGGTGATGAAAATACATCTGGTTGGTTACTGATTATGTAATTGGTGATCGGTAACTCCGACCGACAATAAATGTCAGGTTCAGAATAACTTGAGCAGAAGCTTAGTATTATTAAGCAATCCATTGAAAATATCTGATTTTGATTTGACACCTTCTCCATTTTTCTTTTACACTTGACTCTTTTTACTTTGACTTCATTTTCACATTCTTTGATATTAATCAGTAGTCTCTTGGCCACTCAAGGTTTGTGAAAGGTTTTGCTTTATTCCATGCCGAATCACACTACTTATCAGAAATAATCAGCTTTTCCTATTTATTGTAACTAACCACAACAGAAATATTTAAAGTTTGGGCTTTACATTTATGCTAGTTAAGTAAATGTAGATGGAAACAGCCTAGTGATGATGTAGATGTGTGTGTACGTTCTGTAGGTCTAGAAGGAGTGTCACCACTCTTGGGATCTTTTTAGTGTGTAATTATTATATATTAGAGTAAAAAGTATGTTCTGATCACTCTGTGTTTTAGGATAGGATCACAATGGACTCTCATTGTCATCAGCAGCCAGGGGCTTGGGGAAGTCCTTGCAACAACATGCCATACCCACCCCCACCACCAGGGGGGCCCTGCTATCCACCAATGCACCCAGGGCCTCATGGAGGGTATGGACATGGAGTTTATGCCCCCTTTAATCATTATCATGGCCACGGACATCACCATGGGCATCATCACTGGCATCATCATGGCCATCACCATGGACACGGACACCATCATGGGCATCATCATGGGTTTTTTCATCATCATGGTCATCATGGCAAGCATTGCTAGGAGAAGCAAAGAAATGGCAAGGTGAGACCACCAGACACCCCAAACACTGCTGAAATGTTTTTAAAACTACAGGGAGATCCATGCTAGATGAAAGATCAGACATATAAAAACAAAGTTATGTAGTAACAGATAATTATGAGACACAGTAGCTGTTCTTGTGTCTGATGAGTTTATGTCTTCTCTCAGCATTTCAGAGGCAATTTCTGCAGTGACTCACAGTGGATGAAGAATCAGGAGCCTGTCCTCACTTCAGTCTATATTTTTCTGTGGAAGTGCTGTAAACATTTTCTTTTTTTAGTTTTTCTTTTTCTAAAAACACACCAATGCAGAATTAGCACCTTTAACAAGAAAAGCTCTTTATGATAAATAAATATGACAAGTAGTTCTCCAATGTTTACTTAAATTCCTGAGTAAAGCACTTTGAGGTTTTGTGACTAAAATGAAAAGTGCTATATAAATAAAGTCTTTTATTTTGTTATTTATTTATAACTAATATTTTAAACATGAGGGAAAACCTGCTTGTATTATATTTTATTATTCTAAACAGTTTTTTAATTATTCTATCTATGTCTTTCTTGAATAAAAGTATGAATCATGTTTTTTGTCTTTTAAACTTCTATTCTGTATTTATTTTATGTTTCACAAAATCTAATAAAAATAAATATACTGCTTATTTCAGTTCAAGCCAACATTGGAACTGTTTTCTGGATTTTCTTGTTTCGCCTCAAATAAAAAATGCTGACACATAACATATTTTGGGTGACATATACTTCTACTTGTTAGCTCTTTTTACCTTTTAGCTTTAGTGCAAAACTAAAGAAGGAAACATGTTTTGGTTGATTGGCTACATTCGGGGTAAGAGGACAGTTGTGTAAATGTGATTTTGGGTGAACTGTTCATAGCAAACATTTGAGGTCTGACAGTGTTGCAGTTTAGGTCCTGAAGCATGCATCATTACAATAATCCACCACTAACCCATCTTCAACAAGCTGTATTTGAAAGCACTGAATGAATCAGACATTGGAGTTTTTCTCTAAGACTTCAAGGCTTTCACGACTGTTGAAAGTTGCAGCATTGCTGAGTGTCAGGCTCCAAAATAACATCCTCAGTAGAGACGGGGGAAATTACAGAATCCACTGAGAGTTAAGGTGAGTACTCAGCACTGGTGGTAGCTCTGAACAGTTTGGTAACTTTACCTGAATAATGTTCCTTACAGAAATCATAATATTTGACTCTCTTAAAAACATTTAAATGGCAATATCTGGAAACAACAGTCTCTTAACTGATAATTAACAGTGTACATTCATTATTAGTTAAATAGTGAAGAAAATGCTCCTCTGTGAGTAAATCCCAGTGTTTTCAATACTGTTAATAGCCTATGTCAGTGGCTAGACTGAAATCACTTTTTTTGCACAATGCTTTAATTAAATCACTGAATACATGTAGTTGTTTGCAAGAGTCATATGACATGTTTTGTTGATTTTCTAAGTGGAAATAAGTTACACATCCTCTACAGAGAATTCACTTAAATATGACGTTTTGTTCTGCAATTTTAGTGCACAATTTCTGAGTGAAGTTTAACATATTGGAAAAAATAAATAATTTGGGAGTTAACGCCACCAAATAAACAACATACCTATTTTCATTCTCTGTGACGTTTCTGTTCCTCATGAATCTTTCACTGGAAGTAAAACCAGTTGGTCCACAAAACCAGTTTGTCCACAAATGACCAAGAGCCTGTGTTGAATAGGACTGAATGTTGTTAATAATGAAGAGTGTTTGTTAATATTGTCTCTCCAACAAATGTGGAGGGTGATTTAAATGGAAAGTTTTCCAGGTTTACAGCTGTTCTGAATTGGGTAAAGTAATGAATATAGTGATATTTGGTAATACTGAGTTTCTCATTCTTTTAAGAGACCAAATGAAAGCAAGACCGGGTCAATAATAAAACCCAAAAAATTGAGTCCTCTTCTAGACCAGGCTTTAATTAGTCTTTATCTGCTTCCAGTACAAATTACTGGAAAAATATAAAAGAAGGATTTTCCTTCCACAAAACAAAACTGTATGTACAAAATAACCCCATCAAATGTTTTTCCCTTTTTTATAACTTTAATACTGGATACAAGTTCAGCACCACCCCATAACTCAGACTAGCGGCTCTGCATTGCCTAAACTTTTTGAACAATGCTTGAGTAAAGTACAAATCTTCCAAAATAATACAACAAAGTACAAAATAAGCAACAAAGTACAATTAAATACTTGAAAATATTTTCCACCCCTGATGCATGTTGGACTAGCTTATTAAAAATTGCATGGATAAAAGTTGCTAAAGTAAAAATAATTTCATCAAAATAGTTTCAGTAGCTTTTTACCAATGAGTGAAGTGCTATGAAGGCTGTATTTGTCTTTGGGTATTCGTATTTGAAGTATTACTGACAGTGTTGCCGTTTGAACCCTGAAGCTTAAGTCATTGCTCTATTGCTGTGTTTAACTAGCTAGTTTGAGGAGAACATGCTGATTGAAATAGACATAAAACTTTTTATCCATGACTTTAGGACTTTAGTGACTGTTGAAAGTCGTTGCATTGTGGAGCATCAGACTCCAAACTAACATCCTGAACAACAGGTTTGACAGAAACAATAATAACAATACATTCTTAGTACAGGCCTTTGCCTTCCTCGTGACTCCTGCTGCCTGCGTATTGGAAATAAAACTGGTTTTTCTGTACACACTCAAGAGATCCTTAACACGCTGCACTGCGTGCAAAGAATGGAATGTTTATTAAAGACGATGTATATGTGTTGATGTTTTGTTTAAAACAAATGTGATGGATAATTTAGACTGAAAGTTTTCCAGTTTTAGAAACATCTTAGATATGTTCAAAGCAAATATAGTCAAATTATTGTCAATATATGAGGGCTGGTAAGTGTAGTTATATGTATGTAAATAAGGGTTTGAAACACTTGTTCAGTTTGTTATTGGACACATTCAGTTTTTTTGTGATGTTATGATGACTCATTAATCAAGGGTCTGAACATAGATACTAAAAGAGTAAACCATTGACTGTCTAAAGTAGTTCTTACTTCCTACACACATATGCAGGTTGGTAGGAGCAGAGAATGCATGGGTGTGGGGCGTCACCTATAATGATGTCATTCCAGACTTTCAGTATAAAGTGACACCCACTCTTCACCTGGCACCTGTTGAATTCAACTCTTCACCTGGCACCTGGCTGAACACTGTTGAATTTTCGACTCATCACTGGTGGTAAGTACGTTTTCCTTTACTTAAATCATAAGTACCCTTGAAATAAACTTTAAAACAGTTAATATTCTCTACTCAAATATTGATGATATAATGGTAAAATCTCATTAAAAAGAACTCAATTTCACAATCAGACTGCTTCTTCAGGGGCCCTTTAAAAAAGGATTAAAACTTTTCTTGGACAATGAACTCTGCATAGTATAGTGAGACTTAGGTTTCTGGCCCATCCCACTCTTTTGCCTTCAGGAAGTGTCATAGACTGAAACAGTCATACTGGGCATGAGGCTGCTGCACTCTCTGCTGGTCAGTGATGTTTATGACTCAAACATATTAAGCCTCATCTTTTACCACACTTGTAGGCTGTCAATTACGTTCATATGTTCAACTCCACACAGATGTACTATGTCTGTATTTTCTCATGTCTTTATTTGATTTTTCCTGGAGGTAGTTTTACATTTGAACATTGTGTTGTGTTATACAGAAACTGTTATTGGCCTTGTGGTAGTTCAAAAGATTAAACCATTTTTAGGCAACTGAGATCCACAATCAAAATGATAGTAGTAGGAGTCAGGTGATGAATATACAACTAATTGGTTGCTGTTGTAATTATGTAATTACTAATCTGCAACTAAGTAGCAGGTTCAGGAGGAGCAGAAGCTTATAGTAGAATTAAGCATTACATTGAAAATGTCTGATTTTAATTTGTAGTCTTCTTCATCTCTCTTTTGCGCTTGATTCTTGTCACTTTTTCATTTTCACATTCTTTGATGTTAATCAGTAGTCACCTGGTCACTTAAAGCGTGAGAGGTTTAAGTTCATTCCATGCCGAATCACACTACTTGGAATATTCAGCTTTTCCCATTTATTGGAACAAACCACAACAGAAATATCTAAAGTTTGGGCTTTACATTTATGCTATTAAAATAAATGTAGATATACCTATGGCCTAGTGATGATGTAGACTGTAAAAATGTACATTCTGTAGGTCTGAATGTAGAAGGTGTGTCACCACTTTTGTAATCTTTTTAGTGTGTAATTATTACATTAGAGTAACAAGTATGTTCTCATCTCTTTGTGTTTTAGGATAGGATCACTATGGACCCTTACAGACATCAGCAGCCAGGGGCTTGGGGAAGTCCTTACAACAACATGCCATACCCACCCCCACCACCAGGGGGGCCCTGCTATCCACCAATGGGCCCAGGGCCTCATGGAGGGTATGGACATGGGGTTTCTGCCCCCTTTGATCATCATCATGGCCACGGACATCACCACGGGCATCATCACGGCCATCACCATGAACATGGACACCATCATGGGCATCATCATGGTCACCATGGTCATCATGGCAAGCACTGCTAGAAGAAGCAAAGAAAGAGCAAGGTGAGACCACCAGACACCCCAAACACTGCTGAAGCTTTTACAGTGAGATACCTGCTAGAGATTAGAAATATAAAAAATAACAAGTTATGTAGTAACAAACAATTATGAGATAAAGCATAAAGTAGCTGTTCTTGTGTCTGATGAGTTTATGTCTTCTCAGCATGTCAGAGGCAATTCCTGCAGTGACCCACGCTGGATGAAGAATCAAAAGTCTGTCCTCACTTCACTCTCTATTTTTCTGTGGAAGTGCTGTAAACATTTTCTTTTTTCAGTTTTCCGATGTGTAAAAACACACACCCAATGCAGAATTAGCACCTTTAACAAGAAAAGCTCTTTACAATAAATAAATATGACAAGTAGTTCTCCAATGTTTACTTAAATTCCTGAGTAAAGCACTTTGAGGTTTTGTGACTAAAATGAAAAGCGCTACATAAATAAATCATTTTTTATTTTGTTATTTATTTATAACTAATATTTTAAACATGAGGGAAAACCTGCTTGTATTATATTTTATTATTCTAAACAGTTTTTTTAGTTATTCTATCTATGTTTTTCTTGAATAAAAGTATGAATCATGTTTTTGCTTTTTTTATTGTTTTATTCTGTATTTACTTTATATTTCTTAAAATCTAATGGACAAATAAAAATACTGTTTATTTTAACTCAAGCCAACTTAGGGACTGTTTTCTGGATTTTCTTGTTGCACTGAAATAAAAAATGCTGACAGATATAAATACTTTTTTGCATGATTCAAACAACAACAAAAAAACAAAAACACATTCTTAAATATGACCAAACTTAAATATGACATTCTTTTCTGCAAATTTTACTGCACAATTCCGAAGTGAAGTTTAACATATTGGAAAAAATAAATCATTTGAGAGTTAATGGCACCATTTAAACAAAAATACCTATTTTCATTCTCTGTGATGTTTCTATTTTTTGTGAATCCTTCACTGGAAGTAAATCCAGTTTGTCCACAAACACCCAAGAGACAGTGCTGAGTAGGACTGAATGTTGTTAATAATGAAGCATGTGTGTGTTTGTTGTCTCTTTAACAAATGTGGAGGGTCATTTAAATGGAAAGTTTTCCAGGTTTACAGCTCTTCTGAATTGAGTAATTAATATACTAATATTTGGTAATACTGAGTTTCTTGTACATACATACAAGAGTTTGTGTGCCCAGTTTGTTATATTAAGACACATTCATTTTTTCTGTTATGATGTCGCACCAAGAGTTCGAACACAAAGCCTAAAATCTACATGAGAAATATAGCACAAGCACAAAAATGATGTTAAAGCTAAAACCTGACATTTATTGCCTAAAATATTTCCTTCACTGTCAGGCAAGCTGCACCTACATACTGTGATAGAGACTACATAGATGTGAGACATCAACAGAAATCACCACTTTCAAATCATTCAGTTTCTAAAGTGATTCAGTTCTAAAGGTACCTGTTGTTCACTAAACACTGTGGGAGTTTTTGGACATCCTGCAGTAAAAAGGTTTGGCATCATCTGTATTAAAATGAGATATTTACATTTTTTACTGTAAATTTCAATGTGAAATGTGTGGTAAAATGATCAAAATGTTTTATTCTCTGTGTTGCATAACTGCAAACACCACCAAAAAGAACTGAAATTTGTAGCCACAGCTTTAAAAAATACCTTTAAACTTTCATTGGTAATGCCTAGCTTCTTATTAATTTGAAGAATTGTATATTTGGATTTATATTTATATATTTTTAATAAAGGGCAAAAATGTACTCTACTTATGTCAGTGATCTACTTTTAGCCTTCAGGTCTTGTCATAGACAAACAGTCTTCCTGGACAATGAAGTGGCTTCAGTTATTTCTGGTCAGTGATGCTATTTATAACTTAAATACATCAAACTGCATCTTTAGCACATCTCATGTCTGTTTCTCATATATTTTTGATTTTCTCATGTCTGTATTAGATCTTTTCATTTCACCATATTCAGGTCAGATGATTCCTGAGTGGAGCTTTAGGATGCTCAAGCTTCTCCATTCCACCAATGAACCCTGCGGGCATGTCTTCATAATCAACATAATCAGTTTTTTGAGGAAAGCAGATTTAGTCGCTTACAAAAACAGTTATATAATCAATTAGTTACACTGGTTAAAGGGCAACTCCACCGATTTTGCAAAATGACTATCATTCAATGGTTTAGATGTGAACAAAATCATTCAAAGTGGTTTGGTGTATTTTACCATTATCAGCGTGACATATAAAACCTTATTCGACACATGTATGTTCACTAGTCATTTTGGATAGCAGATAAAATGGTAATATTTGTAGAGTAGACATATGGACGTCTGGTTCCTAGTACTATAATGGTAAACAATTTGGAGTAAATTTCTCTAGAAAGGCACATTTCACACCAAACCACTCTAAATGATTTTGTTCACATCTAAACAATTGAATGATTAAGTAATTTTACAAAATCAGTGGAGTTTAACAACAAAAACTCATCACACGCTTTGGGAATACCTGCTTTTGTGGTATCTCGCCTCACTCCTCTCTGATTGCTTTTGCTCTCGTGTTAATACATCTGCTGATGTTAGCTGATACTCACCACCTGTGAAATATGTTGGTTCATTCTTTACTTTACTTCTTCAAATACGTATTTTTCTGCATTCTACTTATTCTATCAGCAATTAAAAAAAAACATGAAATTATCTAGAGTTAACTCTCTCTTTAGTGTGTAATGATTTATAATGAATTGTCATTTCAGAGTCACAGGTATGTTTTGTTTTCTTTCTGTGTTAGGGTGGTCTGATGGGAAACCTCATTGTCCACAGCAGCAGGGGGCATGCAGGAGGCAAGGTAAGAAAAATCAGGCCCCCTGTCCTCACAGATAAAACAGCAAGCAAGTTATATAAATAACAAATGAATATGGGATAAACAGAGTTTGGCAAAATACTTTGAAAAAGCAGTGATGGCTAAATACTGAATACGCTGTCCTAAATGAATTCAGTAATTTTGTATTATAACAGAATTGAGTATTCTGTTACAATATATAAAAAGTAACATATTTAGAATACATTTAGAACACATATTGATGAGAAATGTGGGAAATACTGTGCTGCAATTTTGACTTAATTTACACTGTTACTCACTGTTACTGGTTGGTAGTTTTCTTCAAGCGATTTTTCTGTTAAAATTTTTAATGTACAAATGTGCTTATCATGTATATTAAGTTCTGAAGTTCTTAGCTTTTTTAATTTCTCTGTCATTGCCTGCTTCAGTCTACTGCAGCTCCCCCAATCTCCAAGCAGGAGTTTAGTACTACACTGATGCTAAACTTATCACTCACACACATGTCCACTATTGAGGAGATTATTAGTTTGATTGTCCCTCAAAGGTGTTTAGAAACGCTGAGATGAATAACTGACTCATCACATAGATTTATCAGTCAACTAAGGCTTTAGCAGGAACTTCAGTGTTTGTAAAGAAGCCATTAATTGAGGTTCTCTCTAGAATTTATCTAATGACCATGTTGTGTGCTGGTGTTAAAATACTTAATAAACAGGCATTGATGGTTTCTTTTGATGATTTATTTTTAATTAGCTGTTACGTCTTTTAAAAATATTCTAAAAATGCAAAAAGTAACTGTATTCTGAATACTTCCCTTACAAAATGTAACCTGGACTAAATACAGATATTTAATTTCTGTATTCTGAATATGTGCACCTTAAAGTAGGTAAATTCACTAAGAACAATGGATGTCTCCATATGTTTGGACATATAGTTTCTTTACATTACTCCAAAAATGTAAGTACACAATGTACAGAGAAGAAAGAAAAGTAATCTCTCTCAGGATACTTTTACAATTTGAGGAACAAAAATTACAAATCAGCATTCTTTCATTTTTCTTTAGCAAACAAAATCTCCAGAGGAGCCAGACTTCTTTTTCTTTCTCTTTGCAGAACAGGTCACGTTTGCTACTCTCAGAGTGAAAATGTACTTTATTCAGTTGCCAGTGCATAACTCATGATTGCCTTGTCTACATTTTTTGAAGCCTTCAGCAACTCCTTTTAAGTGAGTGATCTGTAGAGTTATTATTTAGTCTAGATATTAAATTACAGAAACTCAATGTACTGCATTGCTGATTACATGTTTCATCATAGCATTAGTGACTCATTATTCTGTTAGCTAAAAATGTCCTCAAAACTTTTATGAGGACATCATGTGTCTGACTGATTTCTGCCTGCAGCTGATGCATATCCTTCAGAGCACCACTGAAATCAGTCAAAGACTTTCTGGTTGGATCTTTCTTTGTCTTCTTCGGTTGGCTCTGACAGCACCTCTGTAGAAAAATGAATGACACAGATGTCAGAACATATGAGGTACAAATGAAACAACGGGCTGGCAATCATATTTCTATTACATACTTATTGTACAATGCTAACAATAATAATTTAAGTGAAAATACTGTATTGACTAATTTACAGTTGAAGATCTGTTGCTCACCATATCTGCGCTCGCTCAACATTTCCAGAAATCTTCCCATTAATGCCTCTTCTCGTCTGCTCCACTCCCGATCAAACAGCTCTTTTATCTGATCCTGGAGTTTCATGGTGCTTTTAGCCTCATCCTGAACTGTTTCTACATCTGCATATAGACATAGAGACACAGTGATATTTGGTTGCACCATGATTTTCTTGTATTACATAAAACCAGGTTGAATACAACACAATTCTGAAAATTCTTGGACAATGTAATTAGCAAAACTTTACAATACAACAAACTGTAAAAGTGGACTGATTTACTCACTGCCAGACTCCAGCTCTGTTTGAGAGTCTTCTTCATCACTGTGATCATCTGTCTCAGTGTTTAAACTTGCCCCACTGACTGCAGAGAATATTTTATGTTATTTTTATTGTAACACTAAAAGATTTAACAGCTAAAGGACAATGTCTAATATAAAGAAACTCACAATCAGGAAGGGAATCCATACTTCTATCTCTCCTTCTGGGGAGTGCAGCCTTTATGTTTTTCTTCACATCTGAAACCCTTTTTAGAAGGTTCTTGTCCCGTCTTCTCCATTCTTCACTTACAAATTGGACAATTTCCTGTAAATTACTCTCTGTATCACTGGTGTTTGCTTGTGTGTCCACTTTATTTTGCCTCACATAAATTCCACTAAATGTCTCAGTATTCAGCTCGAAAAAACTGTTTCGAGCCACCATCTCATCAATCTTCTGAAACAGCTCTGTAACCTGAACATGATTCTCCCTCTCTTCATTGTTGAAGACGTGATATCTGTTCTCACATTTCTCAACCACCCACTGGAGGGCTTCACCTTCACTCTCAATGTGCTGCTCTATGGTCAAGTCTCCAAGTATGTCACCCCATGTGAAAAGCACAATGGTGTGTCTCCACACTTGCTCCCCAAGGAAGCTCATATTCTCTTCAATGACCCTTTTCTGTTTCTCTTTGAATGACGTGTCTGCAGGAATCACTAGAAGTATACAGTGTGGGGAGGTGACAGTCTGACTTACACTCTTCATAATTTCAGACTTTATCCATGCTGGAGTGTATTGTGAGGGAAAGTACTTAAACCAGCTGGGTGTATCAAGCACAGTTACTGGTCTTCCATCCACTTCACCACATCCACTTTGACATTTAAGAGTACTGTGATCATTAGCAAACACATTTCTGTTAAGGATGGTGTTCCCAGCTGAACTCTTCCCAGCAATCACCCAACCCAGCAATGTAATTCTCAGCTCTGAGGAAACATGGTACAAAATTATAAAGAGAATAACAAACTGTAGTTTATATATTTTGGAAACAGTAAGAGAAACTTAACTTACCTTTTTTGTGAAGGTGTGTCTTTTGGTCTTGTAGCTTTAACACTCTGGATTGTGCTTTGGTCATCACAGTCTTCTTCCACTCTCCAGGCTTCTCCAGTATTTTTGCCTCAATTTGGAAATAAGCGCCATTGTTTCTTTGCACTATATCTTCAATCTTTTCCAGCAGCTGCATCACCTGAGATGTATTATTTAAGCCTGTATTGTCAAAGACATGATATCTATTCCCACATTTTTCTATCAACCACTGTAAAGCTTCCCCCTCATCTTTAATGTGTTCTTCTATAGTTTTGCACCCCAGAGAGCGGCCTCTAGTGAACAGCACAAGAGTGTGTGTCCAGATCTGGTCACCAAGGAGTTCAAGGTGATCCTTTGCAGCTTTCCTGTGTTTCTCTGCGAATGGAATGTCAATCTCGATGACCAGTAAGACCACATGGGGTCCTGGATGGCACAAAGAAACTCCTTGAACAAGCTCCTGTTTCAGAAATTCTGCAGTGTCACTCAGTGGAAAATGCTTCCACCAGCCTGGAGTGTCAACCAACATCAGATCTCTTCCACACACACTTCCCTGTAGTTTCTTACACTGAGCAGTCCTCTTCTTAGCTGGAAGCAAGTCTTTTCCAAACACAGTGTTGATCAGTGTGCTCTTCCCAGAAAACTTCCCCCCAAACACCACAGCCCTAAGCTCTACAAAGCAGAGAACAAGAGATAGGCACTTAGAGGGATAAACAGACTCTTTAAGGGAGGGGGGAGAATATTTTAACAAGACATGTGAAAATTGTATAATATTCTCCAGTGCTGCATTGAAAAGTTTCAGGATTCAGAAGTTTCCGTTCTAAAGGATGTACAGATCCAGTATCCCAGGGATTACCTAGGGTCAAAAGATGGTATGGTTGTGCTTTGACAGACAGTTCTGTATCCATTATAAAGTAAGCACTTTAAGAGAAATATTAATGAATTATTTTAAATGTTATTATGAATATTAATAAAGGTTATTAGTGCCTCATCCTAAAAAGATGCAGTCCCGCCGAAGTTTCTTTCAAGCACTGTATCTACTGACTTGATAAACGGAAAAAATAAAGCCATAAAAATAGATGCAACAACAGGTTCAGAATCAAATGTTGTCTTATAGAAGTTATCTAATGTATCCATTTTCTGTTTTTGTATGTGCTAACCTAGAAACTTAGTCACAGCTGCAGCATAAAGGTACTTTCACACAGCAAAAAGGTTTTAGTGTCTCGTCCATTCACTTTTAATGGAGTCATTTTTGTTGCCCTTAGCGGAGCTACGTGGTGCAATGCCATGGAATGCTGCAGCCTCTGGACAAAGTTAAGATGTGCTTAACTTTGACCTGCATTGCTCTGATCTTAAAATGTGCTACCTATAATTGTAGGCCATTTCTTGCCATGCAATTACTGTAGAATATCAAATAACAGCTTATATGTTTTTCAGGTTTTCTTGAATCATGAAATAATCAGTTAAAAACTTCCTTTGAGATGTTTGTTTGAGTTCGTCTGATGGGTGGTTTGCCAGGCAATAACGTATTCACATCTTGCCACTATACAGGGTGGCGTGCAATTCACATTTGCTGCAATAGTGAGAACATTACTAAGCAACCGGTACTGAGCCGAATGATACAGTTATTCTAATGCTTACAGTAAAAATGCTTTTACCCAATCAGATTGTGATGTAGGAAGTAACTGATGTATAATGTATTATAGCCTGCAAAGTGAAGTTTATATACATGTGTTCTGGAGTTAGCTAGATAATGAAATAATAACATTTTCATCACATGTCACATGTTCAGATGCAGTCCTGTAGAAAAATGGGGCATACAGACATCTAACTACAGTCACAGAATTACCCAAAAAACTCTCCCAATGCAATACACAGATGAGTCAATTAAAATCTGTTAGCTTCTGTTCCCATAATCAAGCGGATGGGTTTTCTGTTATAAACAGCTTTGTGTCCCTTAGCTTCTGGAGCCAGCTAGCTAATTTGGTAAGCTATGATATCCCTATCGACTGACACTCATTGTACTTTGGCCGAGGAAAGTGTACCTACTTCCCCTCCCTCTTTGCGTCCTCCCCTGACCCCCAGTAACTATGTTTAAAACACTTAAGAACATGTAATCATGAAACTGGTGACAGACTGATAACCATGCTGTGCCTGTGCATGATTCTCTGCATGCAAGTCAATAAAAGTCAAAAGAATCTGAAGATTTTGTTCCTGCCAAATTTCTAACATTAGTTAGCAGAGTAAAGGTTTCACCCTCTGCAGTACAGGCTTGGTATAATAACACTCATTTAGAGGATTAAGAAAATCAGGTGGCTGGTGTTGGAGTGACAGTTGGAATCGAACATGTTCTGTAGCATTTAGCATGTTAGCTGTTGCCGAACCACTGTTGTGTGTAGTTTTCTTCAGTATTTCTTGGTTCTGATTTAGCAGCACTGCAGATGGTAAGAGAAACCGTAACCAGTCTCACAGGTCTGCACCTGTGTGGAACGGCACAATACGGCCCTGGGAACCATTTGGCTCTTCAGTTAAAGTTGTGTTGCAAAGAATTGAATTCATTAAGGCAGGGCTGGGACTGTTGAGACAGTGCCGCTACACTGTTCTCAGACCTTTTGAACCATGATCCTCCAAAATTTTAGTTTGAGTTTCAAGCTTCCAGCTGCCCTGGAAAACACATTGCTCACCTTTTCTGACAAACCAGTGCTCCAAATGTAGAGACAGTGATCACATATTGTTGCAAGAGGTAATAGCTAGTGGGATTAGTTGTTAGGCTAGCCGAGTGCGCTACAGCTCAATTTGTGTGTGCAGCATTTACACAGCTCTGTTTTAGCTTAGTGACAATGCGATACGATTGGTGTGGGAGAAATTATCGAAAAGCCACAAAAATATGTCATCTAGACTTCATACCTTTTGTGACCCCCCAGATTTATCTCACATTATTTCAAAAAGTGGGAAGGAGACATCTCCCACTGCATTCTAGGGTCTGTATGGGTTAACACAAAGCATATGACCAAGAAAGATGCAGTTCTCACTTCTTTCTTTAGTAGAAGTAAGAAGTTCTTTGGCTCATGTCAGACAATTGAAAGTCATGTCCTGGCAGATTAAGTGAGGAAGTGGTAAAGACCTGACGTCTGCATAGGGCATGCAGGTCTGTCTATGTCCCCCTTGATGCCAGACTTGTAAATACCACAGATATACATACATAGATGTCACATTCTCTGTTGTTTTCAGTCTGAGGTTATATGTCTGCACATCTGCCATGTTGAGGTGGTCAAAATCCTCTTGTAAAAGAATACACATGTATTAAGTGAATAAACATTCTATTTTGTCACTAACAATATATTAATAGTGTCTCCACAACTTTACCAAATGTTTTGGTAGTGAATGTTTTGGTAATGACAATTTTAGCTCAATTCGATCAAAACTCAAAAACAATAGCAAGTGCATGACTAGCATACACAGCCTTGAACAGCTGTACACACATAACATCATAATATTTTTCATGAAAACACAAAAAGTTTACTTAGTTGTAGAAAATATGTGTTTCAGTAGTGACAATTCTTAATGTTACACACAAATTTTCCGATTTTGGGACACATTTACTTTAAAACAACAATTCAGAATGTCTCACCATGTGTGACAGGGATACAGTCCCACTTTCTTTTCCAAAATACAGGGGTGTGGCTAAAATAAGGGACATATGGACTAAAACTTTACGTTTCAGTAGTGACATGAAAACGTGGAACGGCATTTTTTAAAAGAAATTTTAAAAAGCACAAACAAATTAAGTATTATTTTCACAAGTTTAAATGTAGGGGTTAGAGTTTATGACAGACATCTCCCAAAAAAGTAGCCTGTAAATGATGGTTTTGTATATATTTTGCTTTTTACTATATCTATAAATGCTTTGAGTTTATATAGATATTAACACAATCTTTGTAGCTGTTTAGGGCCTGAAAACATTGTTTTTTAGTTCTTTTTTTTACTGTGGGACTGCATTTTGAACTAATTCAGTAGAATAGTCTGTATTTAAGGGTCATACACAAGCATAATGAAAAAGTCCAATGGTAGAGCTCAATCATGCGATGATCACTAAGTGCCAAGCAAATGTCTTTATTTTCACAATTTCCTTATGCCTGTGTGTTTCAGGTTTTTTATTTTTATAGCTCTGATTGGAGGACATGCTGGTTGGAGGGAACTTGAAGTCTGCAGCTGGCATTAAGAATGACAACAATGAGTTCAACGTGAGCTCTGTAAGAAATGCAATAGTCTTACACACATCTGCAAACCCATCAATGTATGAATCTCTACTAATCTTTGTGTACATAAAATACAGTAAAGGCCCCAAAACACAGTAAGAAGGTGCTAAATTTAATCAAATATCCCACAGTGATTAATATGACTGGACTTATGATGCACATTCACTCTACAGTAAAAGACAAGTGTAAATAAAATAGTTTAACTATAGTTCTCATTAAATAAGATCTCTCTTATAGGTTATAAAATGATATAAGCTTAATACAAAACCACATAAAACCAAACCTTCACCAACCACATGGTCAGATCTATACATAAACATTACGCACACATGAGTGTCAGTTGAGAAGTTCTCCTTTATATAATCCTTTTCCCACAACATGAAATAATAACAAAATCCCATAAGTGTGTGTTCTGTTGTGAAACAATATTAAATGGAAATGGCTATTTGCGCTGAAAGAATTGTCCCTGAAACATAGTTTTATCAGCTTGATACTTAATGACTTTTTCTTACATATAAGTGCTGCTAATAAACTTGAAAACTATACACTACATCTCTTTGGGGTCTCAGAGCCATAGCTACAAACAATAGTTAAATGAAATCTGATAAAAGATGTAAATATGTTTAGAGTTGTTCTTGTAACATACAAAAGTATGAAATATTTCATCATATAGTCTAATGATAATCTTTTATGATCAGTTACAGATCTTCATTATTCATTATTAGTTTATCACTAAAGAGAGAGTTAAAGCTACAATCATTTTCTGTATTCTGGGTTTTAATTAGCTCACAAAAGAAAAAAACAAAATTTGTAGGTTAAAAAAATAATGAATTTTGAAATTTTTAAATAATTTTCAAAATTCATTATTCATTTTTCTCTGGGATCGCACGTAATTATGAAATAAAGCCAGTGTCAACATAACATTAAGATTAAAAACATCTTTTCCCACATACTCACCCATTAGAGAGCACTGCATCTGACCTGCCAAATCTTCACTTACAATCTTCAGATCACAAACTGTGGTAAAGTTAGTTTTTAGGATGGTTTTTTAGAGAAAACAGAAGTGAGAAGAAGAGAAGATGAGGTTTTCTTGTAGTTTCCCATTTGTTTTGCTTTTGAGTCACCAGATCAAGTTCCTCTACTTAGTCACAAGCAACAGTCAGACTTGTTCACTTCAGCTCTGCTAGCTTTTAGTTTTACAGATGATGTATATCTTTCTCGCCAGTTGTAATGACCTTGAATGAAAACCCACATAAGAAGATACACTATATGTCCAAAGGTTTGTAGACACCTGCTGACCCAATATTTCTTCTGAAATTAAAGGTACTAATAGGAGGTTTATTCCTCTTTGCAGCAGTAACAGCCTCTATTCTTCTGGGAAGGTTTTACATAAGATGCTGAAACATTACTGTGAGGAACTGATTGCATTCAGCCACAAGAGCATTAGTGAGGTCACTGTAGCCAATGTTTGGGATTGGACATGGTGACCTTAGGCTGATGTGCAGCTGCTGCAGAACGTCCCCTTCTGTTGGCAGTGCTTTTCTATGGAGATTATACAAGTTATACAGGTTTAAAGCTACAGTTGTGACCAGAGTTAAGCATTAGATCAAGGTAACGGTTAAGGAGTTCACGTTTAGGATTAAAGAGATTTACTTCAAAAGAGATTTAAGTCTCCAAAACTGTCGTACCATATATGTAAGTTTGTGTAGCCAGTTGTTTCTACACCACAAACTTAAAGGGGAATTCCACGTATTTCAAAATCTCTGCATAATGCAGTCTTCAAGAGGTAAACAAAGTCATTCAGAGTGGTTTGATGTTAAATGGTAAACTCCATTAAACTCCAACTCCAAGAATCCTCTGGGAAGTCACATGTACCAAAACAACAAGTGACCCTATAAGTGTTGGGTCACAAACAGTTTTTAGATGTAATGTTGATGATGGCAAAATAGTTATGAAAGAATACATTTTCTTTGGGAACTATTGAGTTTTTCTTGGAATATTATTGAGTTGCTATGCTGCAGGGGCGTCGCCTGGCCTGGGCGTCCGGGGCTCGAGCACCGGATATTTTTTAACCAGCCCCAAACCTTATAACCTTTAATATTTCACACCTTTCACCCCGATTCAATTACACTCTCACCAGCCATGATTTCATTCAGGGGCGCATTCACCCACTCTTCTGAGAGAGAGAGAGGTGAGAGAGAGAGATAAAGGCGCAATGGAGAGAGAGAGGCGTGATAGAGAATGGAAGCAAAAGAGAGTATAGAAAATCCCTGAGTGCCTGCAATTTCTGTTATAAAGTCAAATCCACTCCACTGTAAAACAATAATCATTTTAACTTGTTAATGTAAGTAAACTGGCTGTTTTAAAATGTCAAGTTCACTGAACGTTTTAAGTACACATTTCAGGCAGCCAGGTTATACTTACCCTTTAAGTTAAAACTCCAAACTCGTTTTTACAGCGTACATAAAAAAATTACTCATTTAAAACCAGCCCAACCCAAACTTAGTGCTGTACATGAAAACATGTTTACCTAATGTTTTATCGGCTGGTCGGGCTACATAGCTCTAACAACATCTATCAGGACACTAAATGGCCCAGACTGAATGCTTTGTTTTGATGTCATGTTTTATATTTAAAATATTGTTTCTTGTTTAGTTTTAGAGAAGAAGAGTTTGACTGAATGACTGTTCAGCTTCTAAAGTAGATAGAACTGTAAATGAATGTATGTTTGTCTGAGTGTTTTATTGGAATTTGAACATCAGTGACACAATGGCCTAATAAATTGTGCTACTGCTTTGTTTAATTAGTTTGAGACCTGTGACTTTAGGGCTTTAGGGGCTGATGAAAGGCATCCAATAGGTGTCATTCACTATAAAGGTTATATTTGCCAATTTTAAACAAAGTTAGCTAAAGTACCCTTTATGACAGATGATGCCTATTGGAATAAGCATTTATAAACATTTATGTAGGGTTATGTCAGTTGTCATGACAAACTTATGTTGGTGTATGTAGCCTCATGAGCAGTACAGTAAAGTGTTATTTCCTTTTTAAGAGTATGGTGTAAACTAAAGAAAGTAATTGGGTCTGTTTCTAAGATATTCTCTGAGCATTTTTACAATACTGTATGTAGATCTGAATTCATACCTTTTGCAAACTAATTTTAAAGTCTTCATGAAATCTTGCTTAAAGATATAACTAAGACTATCCTTGTTCTCTGTGACCTTTGCCTTCCTTGTGACATCTGCTGCCTGCGTATTGGAAATAAAAAAACAAAAGCCTTTCCACCCACGCCCAAGAGATCCTTAACATGCTGCACTGAGTAAAAAGAATGCAATGTTTATTAAAGATGACATATATGTGTTGATGCACTGTCTCAAACAAACATGTAAGATGATTTAGACGGGTGAAACCAGATTTAGAGCTGTTCTGGATATGTATAATGAAAGCATAGTCAGTATATTAGTGCTGGTAAGTTTAGGGTTTGAAACACTCATCCAGTTTGTTATTGGACACAATCGTTTTTTTTATGGTGATATAACTCATAAACCAAGGGTTTGAACATAAAGCATAAAACCTACCCCATAAAGCATTACACGAAAGGGTGAAGTACACCTTTTATTGGCTAGCACAACTTTCACATCCTATGTACACATGCAGTGTTGCTGTTGGAGGAAGCAGAGAATGTGTGGGTGTGGGGCTACACCCATAATGACGTCATTCCAGCTTTGCAGTATAAAGAAACACCAACTCTTTACCTGGCACCTGTTGTTTGCTGAACACTGCTGGATTTTCAACTCATTGCTGGTGGTAAGTAGACTTGTTTTTACTTTAATCATAAGTGTTATTGAGATCCACTGTGAAAAAGCTAATATTGTATACTCAGATAGTGATGTTATAATGGTAAAATCTCATTAGAAAGAACTGAACTTCACAATCTTCTTCAGGAGGCCTTTAAACAAAAAAACTTTTTGGCAATATTGAGTTTCTCCTTAATCAGTCATGTTAATAAATATATCTTTACAATTATATATTGTGGCGATGGCCATGGGGCGTACAGCCAACCAGGGGCTGACATACAAAAAAGTACCCTTTATGTTGTTTACTGTTGTTAATGTTACTGTTGTTGAGTTAAGGTATGTGTATGAGTCATATGTGTTATTCTGTGTGGGGGGTGTGGGTGTTTGTATGTGTGGGGGGTCACTGGTAGCGTAAAGTGTGCAGTTGGTGGTGACCTCCCCACGGGTTTGCCAGATGTTATGTGCCTTTCTGCCTACTTGGTTTAATAAAAGGGCTGTTCTCAGAGCAGAATTGTGGCTTCACTTTACTCTTCATTTGAACACCATTACGATATGTTTTAACAAAGGACAACAGAGTCTGCATAGTATAGTTAGACTTGTGTTTCTGGCCTCGTCCCACTCTTTTGCCTACAGGAAGTGTGATAGACCAAAACAGTCATACTGGGCATGAGGCAGCTGCACTCTCTGCTGGTCAGTGATGTTTAAAACTCAAGCCTGTTTGTAGGCCAACTGACATTTATATTCAAGTTCTCATCCCACATAATTTTACCATACCTGCTTTTTGTCATGTCTATATTTGACTTTTCTGTGGATAGTTTAACATTTGAGTGTTGAGAGAAACTGATATCAACAATCAAAACAAATGACAGTAATAGGAGTCAGGTGACGAATATACAACTAGTAGTTGCTGGTATTTATGCTGTTACTCTGGTTTGGTTTAAAATCTTCTCCATTTCTCTTTTATACCTGACACTTTCACTTCATCTTTCTTTTTATATCTACTCTGATGTTAATCAGTAGTGACCATATAACTCATCTAACAGGAAAAAAAATATTCTAAATAGGATCTCCTCTTGTAATTAAGTCCTGATATAGAGAACTCATCATTTTTATTTTCATTTTATTTTTTTTCTTCTGCATTCCAGAAATCTTTCAACAGGCCATCAGTGTAGAAGGAGGTCTTATGCTCTTCTTATTCATCACCATTTCTTACAATGAAATGCTCATGTTAATCTTCTCTTTTCATGTAATGGGGAGAAGTAATTCAGAAATCATCTTCATTAATATAACATTGAAATCTGCTTTATTTCTCTTCAGACAATTTGAAGAAAAGGCATCAAAATGTCAGAAATCTGATCTCTAAATTGATGCTATTAAAGAGACTCAAACATGTTAAAAATAGACTGTCCACATGGCTTATTAATCATCTAGATTATAAAATAATGGGAAATTCCATTGGTCCATGGTCCATGTAACAACCATCAAGAGAAGTAATAAATGTCAATTGCTTGTCACATTCTGTAGGTCAGAATCTTTTAGTGTCTACTTATTATATATTAGAGTAACAGGTATGTTCTGATTTCTTTGTGTTTCAGAATAAGATCAGTATGAACCCTCACTGTCCTCAGCAGCCAGGGGCTTGGGGAGGTCCATGCAACAACACGCCATACCCACCCCCACCACCAGGGGGCCCGTGCCATCCACCAATGGGCCCAGGGCCTCATGGACATGGAGTTCATGTCCCCTTTATTCATCCTCATGGCCACGGACATCATCATGGGCATCATCATGGGCATCACCATGGACACGGACACCATCATGGGCATCATCATGGGTTTTTTCACCGTCATGGTCATCATGGCAAACATTGCTAGAAGGAGCAAAAAAATGGTAAGGTGAGACCACCAGACACCCCTAAACACTGCTGAAACATTTCTGAAACCACAGTGAAATACCTGCTATAAGAAAGACAAGTAATATAAAACAAACAGCTAGTTATGTCAGTGTGAGATAAATATATAGCTGTTCTTGTGTCTGATGAGTTTGTCTGTTGTCTTCTCTCAGCATTTCAGAGGCAGTTCCTGCACTGACTCACAGCAGAGTGGATGAAGAATCAAAAGCATTGTAAAATAATAATAATAATAATAAATCTCTCTTTTCCTATACATAAACCATAACCAGGTTGGCACAGAATTAACACCTGTAACAGATGAATAAAACAAGCTCTTAATAATAATTAAATATGACAAGTTTTTTTAAACATGTTTGTATTATATTCTGATTATTCAATAAAATATCTTGTTTCTAGATTTTCTCCTTGAATAAAAATATCTATTCTATTTTTTGGTGGTGTATTTATTCGTATTAAATATTGAAGAAATTCAACAAAAATAAAATCTACACTCTGCTTATTTTAATTCAAGTTAGCCAAACATGGATCTCTAGATTTCCCTGTTTCAAAAACGCTGGCAGAAAATATTTTTGGCATGCTCCAACCATAGAGAAAAGCAAAAAAACTAGTGATGCACTCATAATCAACAATCCATAAGTTAAAAGTCACATACAGTGGTTAAAAAAAACATGTGAGCCAGGTCAATTTGCACAGCGAGTTTCTCAACTGCCACCTCCTGGGCCTATATGGTATTGCACATGGTTATTCAAAAAAAAAAAATTAACCTGTGATAAATTCAGTTATTGGGATGATTTGGACTGGCACACTGCTGTCTATGCCACACACACACACACACAATCTAAAAAACATGCACAAAAAAATAAAATGAGCACTACTGCCCTGCATAGTATGTGTTTTTCCATGTCAATTCATTCATTAGTTGCATCAGGTGTGCTTCGAGCAGAAGAAAACACAAAAATGTACAAGGCAGTGTTACTCCAGGAACAGGGCCGCATCCAAAACCACATAATACAATTTTGAACATATATAGTATCTATACATGCTATACTAATGCATGCACTTCTAACAGTGGTGTACTACTTTAACATACTATTTACAGTCATATGCAAAAGTCTGGGGGAAGAGCCTTTTCATACAACGCCCCCCAGCTTTGGAATAACCTACCAGTCAGTGTTCGGGACTCAGACACAGCCCCCCTCTTTAAGTCTAGGCTAAAAACTTCTTCTAGTCGAGCCTTTGGTTAATTAGTTTTCCTGTTAGAAAAAGGTGCAGATCTGGGACAGAGAGTCCTATGGTAATCTGGGAATGTTGGTGCTGAACTAACTATCTGTCCCCCTTATCCTCCCCTCCCCCCCTACCCCCATCCCTCTCTCTTTCTCTGAGCTGAGCGGCTGCCCGTCCCAAGAGGGTCTGATGTGAACACCACTCAATCACGTCCCAGGGCATCTGATGCGGCCGGCGCACTGTACAGAAGTGTAAAACTGTATCCACTTATACTGTTTTGTGTCTGTGCTGTTATCCGGTGTCGACCAGAGGAGGATGGGTTCCCCTTTTGAGTCTGGTTCCTCTCGAGGTTTCCTCCTCCTGTTGAGGGAGTTTTTCCCTGCCACTGTTGCCAAGGCTTGCTCACTGGGGGCGTGGACCCGGATTCTCTGTAAAGCTGCTTTGTGACAACGTCTGTTGTAAAAGGTGCTATATAAATAAATTTGACTTGACTTGACTTAAATAGTAATTGTGCATTAAATGTGCAGAAGTGTGTTCTTTGTAGAGGACTTGTTAACTTGTTTTCACTTACATAATCAACAGAACCAGAGCGCTCAAACTTTTGTATACGACTGTAGTATGTTAGTGTGCAATTTTGGCTGCAGCCCAGGATCAAGAACCGCTTCCTTTCTACACATTCAGTAATTCTACTGGTAGAAACAGAGACTGCATAGGTGTGGGGCGTCTCCCATTATCACGTCATTTCATACTTTCAGTATCCACACATCCACTCTTCAGGGTGTTTATAAAAGCACCTAATGTTTGCTAAACCCTGTTGATCTTTTTCGACACATCACATTCGGTAAGTAGGATTTTTTTCAGTCAGGGCCTTTAAAACAACTTCCTTTTCAATAATCTTTGCTTAGTAATAACATGTTTCTTGTTAACTAGTGATGTTAGTAATTATATATTTTCACTAATATGTTTTAGTTAGACTTATGTTTCTGGCCCGTCCTTTTTGCCTACAGGAGGCCAAAGCAGTCATACTGGGCATGAGGTTGCTGCATTTTTTGCGGGTTAGTTGCTTTGTTTATATATCAAATCTATTGAGCCTCAACTTTTAGCACATTTGTAAGGTAACTCTGATTTATGTTGTCGGTTCCAAAAATATTTACTGTATAAACCAAACACATTTTCTCATGTCAGTATTTAATTATCTTGTGCATAATTTTACATTTGATTTTTATGTGGTATTATCATAAAAATGTTATTTGTGTTCAAATGAAAGCAGAAGAACTGTGTTCAAATGAAAAGTGAAACTAATTTATGCTGCTGAGATCAAAACAAATGACGTGAGCACGGCTGAGATAAAGAATGCACTAGTTTGTTAATGATATAGTTATGTAATTGCTTTTAATCAGTAACTCCTGTTGACGCTAAAGAACAGGTTTAAGAGGAGCGAACACTTGGTGTTAAACAGTTCATTAAAAGTACTTGATTTTCATTCTTTTCTTTTCTCTTTTACATTTGTTTTTCCACTTCTTCACTTTCAAATCCTCTGATCTTAATCAGTAATAATCAGGTTGCCATCAGTGTAAAAGGTTTAAATTCATTTCATACCAAATCACTCTGCTTCTTAAAAATATTATTTGTTTCACAATTGTTTATTTACCCATCCACAACAGAAAATCTGCTTGGACTCTAAATTCATGCTATTAAAATAATTTAGTTCAAAATAGTCGGTATGCCGATGGCTTAGTGATAATCTATGTTATAATAATGGTGAGTTCTGGCTTCAAGTAGTTAAGTTAGAAGTGTCAGTTAGTCGTCACATTCTGTTAGGTCTGAATCTAGAATGTGTGTCACCAATACTGCAACTCTTTAAGTGTAAAATATTTAATATTTAAGTCCCATCAGAGTATTTTCTGATATTTTTGTGTTTTAGGGTACCATCTCAATGAACCCTCACTGTCCTCAGCAGCCAGGGGCTTGGGGAATTCCTTGCCACTACATGTTCTGCCTACACCCACCACTAGGGGAACCGTGTTATCCACCAATAGGTCCAGGACATTATGGGTTGTATGGACATGGAGAATACGTCCACTTTAATAAGCATCATGGTCACAGACATCATCACTGGCACTACCAAGGACATCATCATGGTTTTTTTCACCATCATGGTCATCATGGCTTTGTCAACATGAAAACACAAGGATGGGACAAAGTGAGACCACCCAACATTACTAAACATTACTGAAACAGATATCTGCTAGAAGAAAGATCAGAAATATGAAAACTTGAGATATAATATAATCTGGTTTCTCTTTTCCTAAATGTAACAACAAATATCCAGTTTGTTTAAGATTCATTATTAAAACCGTTAACAAAGAATAACAAAAAAGCTCTAAATAAAAGCTAAATAAATATGGCAAGTAGGACTTTGAACATACATACCTGCAAATGCTTGCTTCTTGTATTATATGTTGATTATTCAAAACAGTTTTTTTTTAATCTAAAGCTATTTATTGAATAAATTATGCATTTCATTACATTGGATAGCAAAATGTACATCTGCATTATTTCTGCTCATTTTACTTGAAGTCAGACAACTCAACGTTCAAAAGTTAACATATATAAAATACTTTTGGCATGCTTCAAACAAACAACTATGAATGCAATCAATCCCATCAATTAAACATTGGTTAACTATGAATAAAAAACAAGTGAGCCTGGTCTGTGCAAACTGTATACACTGTCTGGTCCATAAGTATTTGGACATTGACAAGGTAGTATCTTATTTTTTTTAAGTTTTAAATGTAGCCACTAGAAGCTGTGTAGTGTAGAATGTATTGCAGAGCAGAACATATTTTGTAATTTTGTCAGCTGTCAATTATAATACATAATACACTGTTCTAAACAGTGACTATTAGAGCTAGGACTTCAGTTCAGTGTCAAAAAAAAAGTGAAAAATAAGGAAAAGAGCACTGTGCCAGGCACCCGTCCCCCAGGGTCCGATGATGGCCGCGAGAGCTGGCAAGAAGGCGGAGCTCGAACCCCAAGCGCAGACGACAGCCCATGATGACAGCGGGGGAAGGATGATAACCGTGAGCGCTGAGGGGACGGCACCTGAGTTCCGAGCCCCACCTCCTGGGGACTGAAAAGTCTTGACAAGCCACTCAGTTGTGGTGGGTGTAAATGTGTGTGAAAATAAAGTTAAAATGCATGCTGCAACTGTTTCTCCTGCCTCCAGTGTCCTTCCTCCTCCCGGGGTAGCACAGACAGTGCTACAGCACCTCCACAATAATGCTAATTTGTGCTACCTCTCCTCTAGTATTATGTTAGCTAATGCCAATTCACCTGAACATGTTTTGGCCATTCTAGATTAATGTTTTATTTGAAGCTTCTAACAGACATGTTAACATATATGTATATATATTAACAGTATTACAGAAATTCTTTCAGTAAAGAGTTCTGGCATAGAGCTACTCCTGTTTTCCATTTCTAACATCTGACTGAACACTACCACGCTACCATGTTCACTGACATATATAGAACTTCCAGAAGGTGATGTTTTTTTTCTCATAAATTGGTCCCACCCATTGTAAATCAAAGCATGAATGGTTGATTCCACTGTCACTTCCTGATAATGTTGGTGGTTAATCTCACAGTTCAGCTCATGAGGTCCTAACCAGGAGGTCTCACTTGTCTGTATCTACCTGGATACAATGGAGAAAAAGTAAATGCTGACTAGAGAATTTTCTGTTGGGTATTTCAAGAATTTAAGAGAATTACTACAATACTTGCAGAGTTTAAATACAACAAGCATGACGGTAATATTAAATAAACATGAGCTAAAAACTTGAAATTTTTTATTTCAGAGAAATCATTAGGCCATCTCTGAAGGCACAGAAGGCCATTTTTTTAGATTTACTGTATAGGTGCTCTGCTGTTTATACTCATCTATTGGAATGAGCAATTTATTAGCCAGTGTCTTCATCATTGATCAGCCTCTATTGATCATTTACGATTTGGCTGATGCACCATTCCCAAAAAACAGTAAAACCGACATGGTAGTGGAATACCCCACCACTAGAACCCTTGATATCAGCCAATGGGCCCAGGGCCTCATGGAGCATATGAAAATGGAGTTTATGCCCCCTTTAATCATCACCAAGGACATCAGCACCATCATGGGCATTATCATGGGTTTTTTTCACCATCATGATCATCATAACAAGCATTGCTAGAAGAAGCAAACAAAGGGCAAGATGAGACCACCAGGCACCCTTAAACAATGTAAATGTGAAATGTAATTACTACATTAGATTAGTAATTTATGTAGTAAGAGATAATTATGAGATAAAGCATAAAGTAGCTGTTCTTCTGTCTGATGAGTTTCTCTTTTCTCAGCATTTTAGAGGCAATTCCTGCAGTGACTCACAGCAGACTGGATGAAGAATCAAAAGCCTGTCCTCACTTCAATATTTTTTTATGAAAATGCTTTTTAAAAATCTTTAAAATTTTCCAATGTTAAAATACCCATCTAATGCAGAATTATTAGCACCCTTAACAAAATGTACAAAACATCTCTTTATAATAAATAAATATGACATTTATTTCTCCAATGTTTTATTTATATTCCTGTGTAAAGAACTTCTATAGGTTTTATCTAAATATAATTCTTTTATTTATCTATATGTAATATTTGAAACATAGGAAACATCTGCTTGTATTATATTTTTTTATTCCAACTTAATAGTTATGTGAGGAAAGCTGTGGGTCCGGATGGCATCAGCGCCAGGCTCCTTAACTCCTGCGCAGATCAGCTGTCTGGAATAGTTGAACACATGTTCAACATGAGCCTGAAGCTCGGGATGGTACCACAACTGTGGAAAACATCTTGTGTGGTACCAGTGCCAAAGACAGAGCAACCGAAGGACCTCAGCAGCTACAGGCCAGTGGCGCTGACGTCGCACCTGATGAAGACGCTAGAGAGGCTGGTCCTTGCCTATCTCTGCCCTCTGGTGAGCTCATCTATGGACCCACTTCAGTTTGCCTATCAACCTGGCATTGGAGTGGATGACGCGGTCATCTGCCTCCTACACAGAGCTCTTTCTCACCTGGAGAAGCCTGGGAGCACTGTGAGAATCATGTTCTTTGATTTCTCCAGTGCTTTTAACACCATACAGCCTAGGCTCCTGAGGGACAGGCTGGAGAACACAGGGGTGGATCACCACCAATCAAATTGGATTCTGGACTACCTCACCAACTGACCACAGTATGTGAGGCCACAGGACTGTACGTCTGACATGGTGGTCTGCAGCACAGGGGCCCTGCAGGGAAGAGTCCTGGCACCATTCCTCTTCACCCTGTACACTGCAGACTTCACGTACTGCCATCTACAGAAGTTCTCTGATGACTCAGCAATTATAAGACTCATTACAGATGAGGATGACAGAGAGTACAGAGAACTGAGCCAGGACTTTGAGAACTGGTGTCTGAGGAATCACCTCCTAATCAATGCAGGCAGACCAAAGAGATGGTGGTGTATTTTCGCAGATGCAGTCACCTCCCTCCACCAGTGAACATCCAAGGAATGGACATTGAGTGAGTGGACTCTTATAAGTACCTGGGTTTTCACCTCAACAGACTGGACTGGTCAGAAAACAATAGTGCACTTTTTAGGAAAGGCCAGAGCAGACTCTACCTGCTTAGGAGACTGAGATCGTTTGGAGTGCAGGGGGCACTCCTGAGGACCTTTTTTGACACTATGGTGGCATCAGCCATCTTTTATGGAGTGATCCCCTGGGGTAGCAGCATTTCAACTGCAGACAGGAAAAGACTTGACAGACTCCTTAAGAAGGCCAGCTCTGTCCTGGGAAGCCCCTCTAGACCCAGTGCAGTTGGTAGGAGACAAGAGGACGTTAGCCAGACTAGCGTTGATGCTGGAGAACAGCTCTGACCCCATGCATGAAACTCTGACAGCACTGGGCAGCTCCTTCAGTGACAGGCTGCTTCACTTCAAGTGTGTAAAGGAGCGCTATGGCAGGTCCTTCCTTCATGCTGCTGTTAGACTGAACAACCAGCACTGATCCCAGAAGAACCCTCCTCCACCCCCCATTAGACCTCACACACCTACAGCACATAAACTTATAAACTGTGAAATTCATCACCATTTCCTGTGTGCAATATAATCAATACTCCACATGGAATACTTGTAAAATATCTCTATAGTGTAAAGATCTTTTGCTTTTCTATTTACAATGTTTATATTGTTAATTCTTATTATAATAATACTATTTCCATGTATAATATAAATCAGTACCTCAGGTGCAATAGACCATGTGCGTGACTCCTTGCAATTTGGGTAAAATATTCTTACAGTGTAAATATTTTTTGCTTTTTTTATTTATAATTGTTTATATTGTTAATTTTTGTGAAGGATAGTTTATATTTTTTATCTTATTTTTTTACCTCTAGTATTGTATATATTGTCCATATAGTAACAAGTAACAAACTGTAAACCTTGTTAAGTAATTAACAAGGTGTAACACTGCACAAGCACAAGAAGACGCTCGCAGATCTTAAAAACAAAAGGCTGTTTAACGAGAGAGGTAAAGATGGAAAGGCAGTTTCAGGGCAAATCTAAAATCAAGATCCAAAAACCAGGCAAGAGTCAAAAACCAGAAAAGACAAAAAACATACAGGCAACCAGATCAGAAGGGCAAATACAAAAAGCAAAATCCACAAAACAGGCAAAGGGTTCAAAACACAAGTCAAAAGATCAGAATAACAACGTTCAGTAAACCAGGGAAATGGCATTACCTCACAATGAGGAGAGCAAACCAAAGACTATTTAAAGTCTGAGACAAACAGACACAGGTGAAGGGCATTAAAACTCAGGTGACTGAGAACGAGGCAGTTGCACGTGATTGGAAGAATTGGTGACATCATAGGGACTGGAACTATGGGAAATGGAGTCCTGGAGCGTGCTAGGCAAGGAAGGAGAACCTGGAAGCCTGACACAAGGTTAATGACTTGCTTGTTAATTCTCTTCTTGTTACTCCTTTGCTGCTGTAGTACTGTGAATTTCCCTGTTGCGGGACTAATAAAGAATTGTCTTATCTTAAATAACTGGTAGTTAATTAAAAAAAACAAAACAAGTTAGCCTGGTCTGTATGCTAAGTGATAGGGAGTGAGGGTAAAAAAGTTGGTAATCTCAAGAAGACATTACACTTTAGAATCCCTTAGAGTTTTTACATAAATTTGGCCTAAAATGTGACCAGATCTTCATCTAAGCCATAACAGTAGATAAAGACACAATAAACCAAATAGCACAAAAATTATTTTTTATTCATTTATTGAAGAAAGTAATTTAACATTAAATGTGTTCCTGGGCAAAAGTATGTGAACTTCTGGAATGATTAGTTTAGTATAGGGGTAATCATGGTCAGGAGATTCAGTCAGCTGAATGACAATCAAGTGTGAGTGAGGGTGACCCTGCGCTATTTATAAAACATCAACCAGAGTCTTCACTATCGAAGTGTGGTCTTCACCACATGATTGTGAGCATGATACTGCCTGGCAGGTTACTGGTTAAGACCAAACTCTTCAGACATTGTTTTGTAAACTCTTCCATCACGATGAGTATAGACATGCGTTTTTCTGAGACCCTTAGAAATCTCTTGTGAATAAGGAACTGAAAGAATATTTTGTGGGCTGATGAGCCAAAACTAGAACTTCGTGGCTTGAGGAGAAACGTTATTGGACAAAAATCGATTACTTCATTCTGACATTAGAACCTCATCCCTAATATGAAACATGGTGGTGGCAGTGTCTGACTTGCAATCATTTGATGCAACTATGAACCACAAACTGAGGCAGAGATTTCATACAAGATTGCATGTGGTTAAATGTTAAGGATCACCATCCTCCATTTTAATACCAGTTTCCAGTCCTCATCCACTTGGACTCATCATTTCCTCTCAGGGGAATCCCCAGAATGTTCTGAAGGGTTTTTCCATTACTTTATTAATCAAAGTAAAGGGTGTGACCTGACACATTTCTGTTTTCAAACCCCAAAATAATTGCTGACAAAGTTGTTTATAAGCTATAGCAATAAACAACTTTAAAATGCTTAACGTTTCAAAAATATGACATTCGATTCACTGGGCTTTAAGCCAGGCATATACTGTGTGATTTTAAAAATCTTGTTCTTTGGTGACAACTCACACTGTACGTGTGAGTACGTGTGAGTACGATTGCCCATCGTGAAGAGAAGAGTGGAGATTTAAGTGCTGTTTATCTGACAGTGACAATTTTGGTGGTCTATCAGGTATTGTAGGGCTCTTAGGAGTCCAATTTTCTTTAGATCCTTCAGTCATTCTTTAAACACCAGTTTTGGAAACTCTATTTGTACTTATTGGCCATTTTGTTTGGAAATTAAATAAATGAAGGGTGGACTTTTGCACAGTAATGTATGTCCAGACGTTTGTAGACACCTGCTCATCTAAAGTTTCTTTTGAAATAATTAATGAATAATAACTACATGTTGCAGTAACAGCCTTTACTCTTCTAGGAAGGCTTTACACTAGATCTCGGAACACTGCTCTGAGGATTTGATTACATTCAGTGGCAAGAGCATTAGTGAGGTCAGTTACTGATTTTACATAATTAGTTTTTGATTATAAATGCCAATCCATCTTATCCTAAAGGTATTCAATAGTGACATTAAGCTCATGTGCTGGTGTTTCAAAGCATCCCATTCTATTGTCAATGCTTTTCTATGAAGATTACACAAGCTTTGTGTGCGCAGTGCATGTGTCAGACACGTAGATGATATTAGTACAAGGTACATACAAGAATTAAAGCAATCTCTCAGAGCATAATTTCTCAATTTGAGGAAGGAAAATTACAAATCATCATTTTTTTCCATTTACCTTAGGCAAACCAAAATCACCCGAGTATGGTGTGGATTCTTTACGAATATGACGTTTTACCCTTCTTTATACTCATTCTTTGGCAGAACGAGTCAAGTTTGCTACTCCCAACTGCTGATAGGTCGGGACATAGCTCATGACTGCTTTAAGTACATTTTTGAAATCTTTCACATCTTAAATCTATCCTCCTTTTAGTGTGTACAGCAGAATGTTCTATTAATGTACTGTAGTGATCAAGCTGGTAAAAGAAAGTCTCAGAAAACACTTATGAGGACGTCATGTGTCCGACGGAATACTGCCTGAAGCTGATGCATATCCTTCAGAGCACTCCTGTAACCAGCGGGAGACTTTCTTTTTGGATCTTTCTTTGTCATGTTCAGTTGGCTCAGACTGTGCCTCTATAGAAAAAGGAACAGCACAGAAGTCGGCATGCAAGTTCAAACAGAACAACTGGCTGGCAATCCCATTTCTATCATCTACCTATCATCTAAAACTGTGCTTATGATCAAAGCCACTGCTTAAAAGTACATGATAATACTGTATGTGGTAATTTTAAGGTGAAGATCTGTTGCTCACCACATCTGAGCTCGCTCAACATTTCTAGAAATCTTCCCATTAATGCCTCTTCACGTCTGCTCCACTCCTGATCAAGCATCTCTTTAATCTGACCCTTGAGTTTCAGGATACTTTTCTCCTCATCCTGCACTGGTCCTACACATGCATGCAGACACAAAGACAGAGTGACATTTGCTTCCATCATGATTTTCTAGTATAATGTACAACAGGGTTGAATACAACACAATTCTAAAATTCCTGGACAATAATTAGCAAAACTTTATAATACAACAAACAGGTGGACTGACCCGAGGACTCTGGCTCTGTTTGAGACACTTCCTCATCATCCGGGTCCTCTGTCTCAGTGTTTGAACTCGTCTCACTTACTATAAATGATATGTAAGGTTATTTCTATAGTAACAGCTTAAAAACAGCTGAAGGCTTAAGTGGTTATTATAAAGCAACTCACAGTGAGGAGGGGAATCCATACTTCTATCTCCCCTCCTGGGGAGTGCAGCCTTTATGTCCTTCTTCACTTCTGAAACCCTTCTTAGAAGCTCCTTGTCCCTTCTTCTCCATTCTTCATCCACAAATTGGACCACATCCTGTAAATCATGCTCATCAGTGATCTGTGCCTGTGTGTCCACTGCTTCTTGCCTTGCATGAATTCTGCCACTTGTCTGAGTGTTCAGTTGGAATAAACTGTTTCGAGCCACCATCTCATCAATCTTCTGTAGCAGCTCCGTAACCTGAACACGATTCTCCCTCTCTTCATTGTTGAAGACGTGATATCTGTTCTCACATTTCTCAACCACCCACTGGAGGGCTTCACCTTCACTCTCAATGTGCTGCTCTATGGTCAAGTCGCCAAGTATGTCACCCCATGTGAAAAGCACAATGGTGTGTCTCCACACTTGCTCCCCAAGGAAGCTCATGTTCTCTTCAATGACCCTTTTCTGTTTCTCTTTGAATGACGTGTCTGCAGGAATCACTAGAAGTATACAGTGTGGGGAGGTGACAGTCTGACTTACGCTCTTCATAATTTCAGACTGTATCCATGCTGGAGTGTATTGTGAGGGAAAGTACTTAAACCAGCTGGGTGTATCAAGCACAGTTACTGGTCTTCCGTCCACTTCACCAAGTCCACTTTGACATTTAAGAGTACTACGTTCATTAGCAAACACTTTTCTGTTAAGAATGGTGTTCCCAGCTGAACTCTTCCCAGCAATCACCCAACCCAGCAATGTAATTCTTAACCCTGGGGAAAACAGTACAAAATTAGAGAATATCAAAATATAACTCATACAGTTTAGAAACAGGAAAAGTAAAGTCGGCTTCTATTGCTGACTTTACTATGCTAACTATTGCCATGCTTTATTTTAATGAGTAAAAACATCATGAAAAAATGTGGTTAATTAACTCTACATAGTGTCATATATTTAATGTTAGAAAACAAAAGCCTTATGAATTTTCAAACAAAACCATGTGTCACAATTATTGGCATCCCTAGAAATTCTTATCAACAGAACTTCTAACTGAACCATGTTTCCATTTATATTTCACTTGTTTTTAAGCCTACCCGACTGTTCAATAACATCCACATACACGATACTGAGTCTTTTGATTGGTCTTGTAACCATGTAGCTCCATATGCTAGTCAGCTATGCCCACATACAGTGATATTATGGGCTACAGATCATGCAAAGTCATGCATGCTAAATTTAACTGAACTATACTTGATTGGACCTGAATTGAATCGTATCAGCACTAGGCTGAATTATATCGGATAAGTAGTAAATCAAACTCAAAAATCTACTGAGATGTGTACTGTATCATCCGACAGAGTGTGATTCACATCCCAACAAATCAGGACATGGCTATGAAAATAGTGGGTAATAAATGCCTGAAAACGCCCTTATCCACTGTTAGGGCAACAATACCATAATAACAACCGGAGCTGTAGTGAATCTGGCTGGAAGAGGAGGCACATGTGTTTTGCCTCACACAATGAAGAGGCTGGTTCACAGTTGGAGATTTACAAACATGGTAACATTAAACTACAATTAGATGCCACCTCCATGCCAACAAACTGTCTGGAGGGTATGCCAGAAAAAAAGCCTTTTCTTTAATCTAACCACAGATGTAAGTGCTTGGAGTTCACTAGATGTTACTAGATCTTTGACTGGAACCAGGTTCTATGGTCAGATGAGACAAAAATAGGGCTTTTCAGCAACAAACAATGAAGCTGGACTTGGCATAAAAAGAAGGATGACTACATGGAAACGAACCCCACTCCCACTGTTAAGTATGGTGGATGATCTATGATGTTCTGGGACTGTTTTTCCTCCAAATGCCCTGGGAACATTGTTAGGGTATGTGAAATCATGAATTCTGTGAAGTACCAGGTGATTTTAAATGAAAATCTGGCTGCCATTGCCAAAAGGTTAAAACTGGATTGTGACTGGATCTTTCCACAAGGCAATGACCCAAAACATACATTCAAATTCACACAAAAATGGTTCAGTGACCACTGGCCATCCCAGTCCACTGACCTAAACCCCACTCAAATCTGTGGGGTCAGCTGAAGAGGAGAGTCCAAAAGAGAGGACCTAGGACCCTGGAGAATCTCAAGAGGAAATCTGTATCTGTAATGAGTGATCTCAGACTGCTTTCACTGTATTCTCCAATCTGACCATACATTATAGGAGAAGACTGCTATGTGGGCAAATGGAGATTGCACAAAGTAGTAAGTAGTAACCTAAAGGTCTTAGACTAAATTTAGTTCAATTAAAGGTCAGATTGTTTCATATTTTCAGTGTGAGACAGAACTAATCAACCCCAAAGACATTTATTCATGATATTTTTGACTCATTTTTATAAACGGTGTCAATAATTATCGAGTATAACTTACCTTCTTTACTAAGGTGTGTCTTTTGTTCTTGTAGTTTTAACACTCTGGATTGTGCTTTGGTCATCACAGTCTTCTTCCACGCCACAGCCTCTTCCAGTATTTTTGTGTCAATTTGGAAATAAGCACCATTGTTTCTTTGCACTATATCTTCAATCTTTTCCAGCAGCTGTGTCACCTGAGATTTATCATTCAAGACTGTATTGCCAAAGACATGATATCCATTCCCACATTTTTCTATCAACCACTTTAAAGTTTCCCCCTTATTTTCAATGTGCTCTTCTATAGTTCTGTCCAGAGAGCAGCCTCTAGTGAACAGCACAAGAGTGTGTGTCCAGATCTGGTCACCAAGGAGTTCAAGGTGATCCTCTGCAGCTTTCCTGTGTTTCTCTGTGAACGGAATGTCAATCTCAATGACCAGTAAGACCACATGGGGTCCTGGATGGCACAAAGAAACTCCTTCAACAAGTTCCTGTTTCAGAAATTCTGCAGTGTCACTCAGTGGAAAATGCTTCCACCAACCTGGAGTGTCAACCAACGTGAGCTCTCTTCCACACACGCTTCCCTGTAGTTTCTTACACTGAGCAGTCCTCTTATAATTTGGAAGCAAGTCTTTTCCAAACACAGATTTAATCAAGGAGCTCTTCCCAGAAAACTTCCCCCCAAACACCACAGCTCTAAGCTCTACAGGGAAGATAACAAAAGATAGCCACTTAGAGGGATAAACAAACACATTAGAGAGAGAGAAGAGTATTTGTACAAGAAATAACACATCTATGTGTCTAACATATGCTATAGTAGATTCCCTGAACTGTTAATGCTACCTGGAACAATAATATCCGTCAATGGAAAACTGGAAAAATAATACAATATTCTCCAAAACTAAATGTTTAGTAAAGAATATTTGCAATTTCAGGGTTCAAGATTATACAGATCCAGTACTCAAGGGAATTCCCAGGGATTGGAAAAAATCAAAATTATATATTTTCTTGTGGTCAAATAACTACATTAGTATGCTTGTATTCAAGCTGTAAGAATATGAAAACCTTTTTATAACATCCATATATTTTATTACACTCAACAGGACATACAGATATCTGCATTGGATCACTGAATCAGTAAACACTTCCAATGCACTTTTCAGACGAGTTAATTAAGTTTTCTAAGCTAGACACTATAATGACTCAGGTGAGTCTTCTGTTATGGTTCTCTGAGATAGCAAGCCAGTTAGTTAACTTAGCAAGCTTTAGTATCCTCAAGCGAACTAAGTACCAGACGTCTAACGCCTCTCATTGTACTTTGGCTGAGGAAAGTATATGAATAAAATCATGCCTTTCACTAAACTCATTTCAATGTAGAAAAGGGAAACAAAATATATGAGATTATTGGATCTGTCTATCAGAGAGTACATGTGCTAGTTCTGCTCTCGAGCAGGTTTTCCTGGGATCTGTAGCTTTTGGCATAGGTTTTTACACTAACTGGCCACTTCATCAGGCACATTAGGTATTGTACAGGCTGTAGCACCTGTTGCACCTCAATTTATCAGCCACCCACTACCTTGTGAATCAATGGAAAAGGACCATAAGAGGACCAGGTATTATATTAGGGCACCACTCAGCACAGCATTGAGACTGTTGTAGTTAAAAACTGTAAGGACAGGACGGTTTAAAAACAACCGTTTAAAAACAAGAAGACCTTCATCTCCGGTTTATGTCACAGCCATTGACCGCATATTTGCATATAATAGGGATTTTACTGTAGCCTTCATCTTCAACAGGTTTAATCAGGTCAAAAAGCCGTCTGACAGATTGGGTCAAACTGACTCACTACTGGCCTCTTTGAAGATCACTGCGTTTGTTCTGAATGCTAGAAAAGAGAAGCAGGCGCTTGTGCGGAACATGCATTTAATGCGCACTTTGACGGTTCCTTCACGAGAACAGGCTCGTGACGCCGCGCTGAAATCGCTTTTAAAACGGACTAAATCAAGGCGCCACAGCGCGCTGCTGAGAGGAGATGCGCTAACGGAAATGGCTGCTGGAGAGAAAGTGCGAAAGATGAATTTTAAACATCCCTTCTCCTCCTTACTCACCCATTACAGGAGACTGCGTCTGCCCCGCTCTCAGCAGGACCTTTAGTAAGTCTTCAGACCCCTGAACTGCGCTAATTTCAGTTTTACAGGCTATTCGAGACTCAGGCTGGTTATTAAAACCGCATAAGTGAGAAGACGAAGCTGAAGATGGCGGAGTCTTAGCAGTTAACTGTTACTTTCGTTTCTAATTTACGCTCATCAAGTGGTCCTACCGCGCATGCGCATATCACTAGCGTGGTGTAGTACAGTAACTTTATATTTCTAACGTTTTATTGTGCGTTTAATGTTATTCTGCCTTACTTCAAGTGTATTATACACACTAATGTGATTTAAGCTATTAAAATATCCTACCTACACTGTAAAACTCACTGCACATCTTAATGAAAGAATTAAGTTGAGACGACTTAAATACCATCAACGATCATCAACGGTGCTGCTGAGGGTGAAAAGCACCAAGTTCCTGGGCGTGCACGTCACAGAGGACCTCTCCTGGGCCAACAACACAGCATCACTGGCCAGAAGGGCTCATCAGCGCCTCCACTTCCTCCGCAAACTGAGAAGAGCCAGAGCCCCAGCTCCCATCATGTGCACCTTCTACAGAGGTACCATCGAGAGAATCCTGACCAGCTGCATCACCGTGTGGTACGGCGCCTGCACTGTGTGCTGCCGCTTAATCTGTATGTGCCTTATGTCACTTTATTGTTAGATTCAGGGACCTTCTTATATTTCTATTATTTTTTTATTATTCTATTTTTCTACAATTAGTGTTTATTTTTACGATTAGTGTTTAGTGTTTATTTAGTGTCTATTTAATTCACACGTTTCCTGTTTACTGTCTGTTTAATGTTATTGCTACACCATGGGGTCTGAGAGTAACGCAATTTCAATACTCTGTATGTCCTGTACTTATTGTAGTGTTGACAATAAAGCTGTCTTGACTTGATACTACAGACAGTTGGAGTAACATAATCTGAAAAAATCTAATTAATTCAAAAATGAATTGTTGAGATAGTAACTCAGTCATTTTGAGTAAGATTGTTTTTAGCATATTTTGAGTTAAGGTAACTTTATTTAAATGTATTATTTTCACTATTTTTATTTAACTTGACTTTACATGCAAATACAAACAGGCCAGTAATGGGTTGTTTTTAAAGACTGTTGAAAATTTAGTGTGTCTTAAAGTGATAGACGGCATAAATGTTTACATTTGAATGATTTGAACTTTCGTGCTTTTTTCATAACTTTATTTTGATGATTTCACACTCAAAGATCCCATCAAACGGGAGCTGAATTAACTTATTGCAATTTAGTTTAGACTCTCAGCTTTACTTGATAAATGTCCTTCTTCAGTAAAACTCACATCATACCTATTGGCTCTTAGTACCATATATTTACATATTGGGCGTGTCTCTTCACAGTCTGTGTGTTGTCATTCTCCCCAGCCTACGTTCCCTTGTATCGGTTAGATTAGTTAATTTTTGTGGTTAATGCCATTTAACACGGATCGAGAGTCGGAGTTGAGAAAGCGTAGTCACGAAATATTTGAATGATGAGTTTGGGTAGATGCCACAGGGACTGCATCCGTAGTGTGGACTGTTTTATTATGTTTTGGTGAGGTGCTCTGTGGCGGACAATAAGATAGAAAGGACGTTGTTAAAAATGTCTATGATCATATGTTTTCAATCCAATATGGATGTTAAAACGACAGTGTAATGGCGAATTTAATTTAAAATTATTTAATTGTTTTGAGTTAGAACAGCTTAAACATAAGTCACAAATACTTAATCATTTTAATATCAACAAAAACAAATGGAGTTAGTACAATTTACTCAAATTACTTAAGTGTAAATGAGTTATTGAACTTAAAATATTTGAGATAATCAGTTTCCTCAAATCATTTGAGTTGACTTAACTCATCAGGTTTTACATTGTAGTAGTAATGCAGGTAGCATTTTCTGAAAAAGTCATTTAAACTATAAAAATGTCCTACATATACTTTTATATAGGCATCTGAACATGCAGAAGCCTACGGTAGGTCATTTTGACCGAAAGCAAGTTCCTTTGTAATTATCCTTGCAGTAGGTGTAGATCTCCAGAATGTTATAAACTGTATTATTATCTAATGCTTTTATTTTTGTGTTTGTGTAATACACTTTGAATTACCACTGTGTATGAAAGGTGCTATACAAATGATCTTTTTTTTGGGTCTATGCCACAATGTTCTCTGTGTCTACTTCTCCTTTACCCTTAGTTAAGCAACAATAAGAAGCTGATTTACAGTTACATCTTGATGGTAAATTAAATAGTATTTAATTCTTAGCAACATCAAACATAGGAACAGCAAAAGGATATTAAATGATAAATAATTGTAATTTCTCGATAATTTATCTGCCTCAAAATTTGATCACCACTTCTCAAATACAAGGTATTACAGATTATTTAGCATAACTTAATTCGCCTGTGCTGTAAAGCTTTCTCAGTCATTATGGATCATCTACAGGTTCATCATTCTGGACACATCTACTATTTATTCACGTAACAGCTCCTACTAATTGGTTTAAACCATAGACTGTATTGATCTTATATACAGTCTACAGTTTATTTAAAGTTGTAGAGTAGTAGCACAACTTTACACTCGCAACAAAATTATTGTTGTTGTCGTTGTTTTGTTGGAAACTGTGTTCCAAACAACAATTTCACTATTTGAGCAGTAGTGTAAGAAATATTTCGTAGAAAACGAGCGAATTGCTGGAGACTTTTATTTTGAAAACAGCTCCACCTCTTTTCGCTTTGAGATAAGGTTAGTGCTGCTGTGTTCATGTTGGATCCGGTAAATTTGGCTGATTTGTGAGAGCCGGCAGCTGTGAATGAGTAGCAGGTTATAGGCGAGGCGGATGTGTGTTGAATCTCCGCCACACCGTTTGCGGTATGAATGTTAAAACCGGAGGTTTTCCGCGGGCACCGAAGGGAAATCTGCTCTGGTCGCGGGGAGTTTGGCAGCTGCGCTTCAGTGATGGCGAGAGGCTTAAGCGGCTGCTGCGGACTCCCCGGGTCACTTAGCCTCGCTCTCTTCTCCGTCCTGCTCGCCTGCGCTCTCTGTCACAACTGTAACCACAAAGTGCCCTTGCCGACAGAGGTAAATACATTCATTTTAGCATATTTCACTCTTACGAGGTTTGTCTTTTTCTAAAACTAAAACCCAGCGGCGTAACAGCACCGAGTAGCGCCCGAGTAGAGGCGCTAAATCTAAATCTAATCCAGCCTCTCCTCATCCGGTCTGTTTCTGAGAGGCTGGTGACTGAACACATATTCAGAATCAAAAAGTCAGTGTTTTATCATGTTCACAACATATCAAGGACATTCCTACGTTGATAGAGATGCTCAGGTAATTATTCTACAACTATAGAATCAGTGAATGAATCAATCAATCAATCGGTAATACTAACAGAAATGGAACTGCTGCCAAAATATCAGTTATAAAATATGAATGAATATGAGAGCTGCTTCAATATAGGATTACATTACTAAATACAGTACTGTATTAGATGTGTAGAGCAGCGCTGGTATAGTGCAGGAGAAAAGATATACAGTTTAAAGAGCAGCACTATCTGGAAAATATAGAAAGTGAAAAATGTGAGCCTATAAGTTCAGAGTACCGTTGTAGTGCAGCTTGGAAAAAAGAATAAACCAAACATCATTAGTGAAAAGTCCCCTTATTGAAAATGTCTGTACTACCGGACTACGGAGAAATAAATATTATAGATTATATATATTGTTTTATAGTGTAAGATCGGCAGGAATGTTGTAAGAGAGAAAACAGCACTATATGTCTCATAAATCTTTACAATATTACTGTATCTTACAACGTAACAATATTTTTACATTAAGTATAACGTAACAACATTGTACAACTGCCCATACCCTTTTGTAGGGGTAGTTGTACTATTAGATGCAAGACTGTCTCTCTCGCAGCTGTAACAGTGTGAACCTATAAAAATGAACTACAGTCTGTAGTTTATGTAGTTTACGAACTGCATTTAGTCTGATTCAGCTCTGAAAAGAGTTGATCAGTGGATAATTGGAGCAGGGACATGTATGAAACTGTGCTGGTAAACACTGGCCTAAAGCACTGTTTCCAAATCCTGCCCATCTGCTGCACGTTGTTGTTTTCTTTGTTAAGGGACATTAAGAGCTGTAACAGGTGTGTTAGAGCAGGAAAACAGTAATTGCACAGAGCAGGGTGCTCCAGAAGCAGCACTGAGGACCACTGATGAACAGCAAGATAGAACTGTGTTTCCCTGATCTGACTCACATCATTAACTAATGATGCTGTATCTTGAGTCGACTCAGGTATTCACAACACTGTGTCATGCAGGTGGACAGCAGCCAGATCCAGATTCTCAGAGCGCTTAGGACATTCATAACCCATTAGGAATCGTATCTTCAGAGCCTTGGTCATAACTGGCTGCTCAAGTGATCCGTAAAACATTTCGGGTGCCATTTTTTTCACATGACCCGTCTTATCTGTGGGAGTGATTGTGATAAAATTAAGGACAGGCCTGGCGTGACACACAAGGAATATTGATGACCTTTCATCAACATCATGAAGTCGTCCCAATTATTGTAAACAACAGTGAAACAGTCAAATGAAGTCATCAAAACTCACAGTGAACAATGCTTACGTTTAGCTTACAGTAACATTGACTCTGACTGATATCAGTAAAAAAAAAAGGATGATGATTTATTTTTTTTTAATTAAGTCTGCTAACTGTGCTCTTTAAAAAAAGACCTTCAGACAATCAGATATTAGCATTATGCTCATATGCATTTATAAAGTTCTTGCTATTGTTCAGTCTAGGCTGAGCGCGATGACAGACCATGTGGGCTTCCTCATTCACCTCCCCCGGGCACCTGAAATGCTGTCAATCATTGGTAGATAACAGAACAGCTGATGTGCCACCTTCTCTTTTAGGTTTATCCCAGGAGTTATGCCATGACTACCTTAGTTCTTCCGTTGAAAATGAGAAATAGGGAAGGTCGCTAGCCGGTCACAGAGCAGTCCTAGGTTAAGAGGGTCATAAGGCTGTTATGACCGCTGGGGAACTTCCATGAAGCTTTGAGAGTCAGGCCCCTGCACTGCACAGTTTCAACGTGGGCTGTAACAACACACATTTTATTTTATTTTGTGTTGTTTGGCTCAAATTTATTTTTAAAACAAAGCAATGTGATTAGCATGACATTGTGCAAAAATTTACCTTATAAAACCGCTACTGTACAAAACTGTATGAACAGCACAAATATTAGGAAAATTAGTCATGTTTCAATTTTTTTACATTTGAATTAATAACATAATAAATTGCTTATACCAGACCTTTAAAATGCAGCTCCTGCTAGGAGTAAAGAAAGGGAACACATCACCCCCATTCTTAAATCCTTAGACTAGCTACCAATATGTTATAGAACGGAGTTTAAGGTACTATTACTGGTCTATAAATGGCTTAATGGTGCAGGACCAGCGTCTTTATCTGATATGCTGCAGCAATATACGTTCCTATTTGAGCAGCTTTTAGCTCCGTTTAAAACACTGTGAGCTCTACTGCACTTCTCTCCATTAACGGCACTGTATCATCCGAATTAATTAATTTAATTTTTAATGTAATATTTAGTAACTCCTTTTTTTAATGTTATAATGTTTTAATAATATTTTTTAATTTCAATTTTCCTACTTTTTTTTAATTATCTTTGTATTTTCTCATTTGTAAAGCACTTTGAATGGCTGCAGTGTATAGAATGTGCAGTGTAAATAAACTTGCTTGCCTTTCCTTAATTAATTAATGGCCTAATAAATGACTGATTTTGATGAGTGATGGCAAATGAGAGAGAAGGTTTTAAACTATGGTTTTAAACTTTTTTTTTGACACTGTATTAAAATCCTTACACACTTAATACCAACTATTCCCTGCTCCAGCACACCTGTGTGAGTTTGAGCAGTTGTTTGGGTAGTTAGTGTTTTCCTTGCTTTACCACACTTGGTTTTATTTGTGAGATAAAAAACAGACCTTTCATGTGGTTAAAGCAAGTGCGTCAAAAAATTATTAGCAACGAACAGATGTTTAGGTGTCAAATCAATATTTTTATGACGTATCTATCGTACTCTCTATCATGATGCCGGCCTGCTGTGCTGTAATGTCTGCAGTTTTTTTTGTTTTACTGCATTTGTAACCTCTAAATTTCTACGTTTTTGAATGTTGGTATCAGCTTCTGCAGATATGTACATGAGAAATATCATGCAGTACAGAAGTAAACGTTGATTACAGACTGATCAACTGTCCTAAAATTGCTAAAATTTAATTCTAAAGAAAACTAGCCGAAGCTTCAGCTTTTGAGGCCAGCAGGATTCTACAAGTGTGAGCTTTTAAACTCATTACATAAATATTCCACATTGAACAGCTGTTAAATATTTTATAATAAATGCCACAGATACAGTTGTGTGCATTTGTGCTTGATTGCGTTCAGTTATCTCTCAGATTTGTCTCTTTCTGCCGTTCATCACAGAAGATAATTATTACTTTTGAAATGATGCATTATGCCATCAGTATATCAAACTGTCGGTTTTGTTTGTGCTTTCAGGTGATACATGATGTATATCTGAAACCTGGGAGACTGACTAAAAGAAGCACTGAGCAGCAGTTAAAGATTCAGATATTTTATGACTCCAGTTTGGATGTGTAAGTAGCACGTCTGTAAACATGAGACCTCAGGGCTCTGTGGCTATTCAGTAACTGTACTGTGTGTCTGTTTCCCTACTAGGCTCGATGAGGACAAAAGCAGCCTTGTGAAGGTATTTCTTAGTGTGCGCTATCAGAACTGTATCAGATTTATCTTGATAATGAATATCAAGTAGGGTCTAATTCAGCATTTGAATAATACTCTGTTCTGCTACCTCCAAAGGACAAACTCTTCCCACAAGCCGTCGATTATCTTCAGAGGGCCTTCAGAGTGCGCAGACAGACAGGCCCTGTGTTACTAAGCAGGTAATGCTTTTCCCCTCCACATTCTGCTTTGCTTGTATCTGACAGATCAAATCCTCTTAAATCTTGGCACCCAGGGTGGCTTATAGTATTTATATGCTATTCAGTATTACATGATTTTTTTTTTCTTTAGACAATGCTCAACAAATCAGTATCTGAGAAAACAAGATGACCCTCATCGCTTTTGCCAAGGAACCTGCGCGAATATCACGAGATGTGGACCAGTGATTGTGCCTGAGGAACATCTGCAGGTTAGCCCTTTATGTCCTTCAAGAATGCCCCTTCAAAGTGCTTCTACTCTTAAGTGTGTGGTTTTTAACCATCTCCAGAAGGCCACAGGTCAGCCTATGTTTGGGTCTGTTTTTTGCAGTAGTGTTATGTCATTCGGTCTTAAATTGGATGACCATATTATGAACGTTAGTCGGTGTCTAATCCTGCTTAAGTTACTGCTGAGGTCATGTGCTTTAATCAGGCTAGCCTTCTATACTTAATGAGATCAGACATGGAGGTTGAAGAAAATGAATGGCAGCTGGAACGCTGGCCATGTGCATGATGCTAACTGATTTTCCTCTCCTCTTTTATGTTTGCACAGAATTTCCAAAAAGTCCTAACATGTTTCACCTGGTCTTAACTGTTGTGATGGTAGATTAATTGGTTGTGACATGTTTATGTTGTGCAGCAATGCAGAGCGTGCAGCGAGACGGGGAAGTCATGTGGTCCAATGGGACCCCCAGACGGTGAGGGGGTTGACAGGGCGGATTTTGTGTTGTATGTGAGTGGGGTGACCACCGAGCGCTGTGGGCAAGAGAACATTGTGGCCTATGCAGCATACTGCCAGCTGGAAGCAGAACTAGACAGGTAAACACTAAGCTGTTGTTGTTTTCTTTAATTAGGGGTTTTGTGTTTTAGGGACATAAGCACAACATTGACTACAATTATTAAAGGAACGTCATTTGTCGTGTTATTAGTCATGTAATGTTAGATTTCATCAGTTTGACAGAATTGATTTTTAATGTCCTTAATGTCCGTTTTGGTCCCCCCCCCGTCCATCAGTGTTCTCTCACTACGGTGCCCACCATGTATTACATAAATGTCATACAACAACTGGAAATTGATTCCATAGTAAACAAACGAATTGCACTGATTTACAAGCTCATAAATACAGATGTGGTATTCAACTTCCTCACACTTACCCTAGCTATCTGGCTTTCCTTTGCGTTAGCCAACTATTGGGGGGCAAACAATTCAAACACCCCTCCTTCATGTATCCACCCCAGTTGTGATTTTTCAAAACTTCCTCCCACCTTCAAGAATGGGGTTTTCCTAGTCTTTAAAGCGTAGAAATCTCACTCTCCAGGAATGCGTGTTTACAACACACGTAATGATTTTTCATTTTGTCTGGAGTGCCCCTTTAACCTATTGTAAGCTAAAAATAATAATAAAAAAAAAATAATCAGCCTATCTATGTTATGTTATTTGTAAAGCTTGTTCAAACAAACATTGTATCTGTTCATTTGAACAAGGTTTACAGAGTATTGGGGGAAAAAAAATCCTATTTAAGCAAATAATAATTTGTAACATTAACTACAGCTAGCTAGCTACATAACTTTGAGTTTCTAGCTTAAAATGCTACTGAGCTGGACTGATCATAATTTGGCATTTTTGAAAAAAGATTTACCACCGTGCTAACGTTAGCATGATTACATGAACAAAAAAATGTAATTTGTCTTATTGGTGTGACTTTTCATATGCATTTCCTCACAGACCATTTGTATGAGTACAAAATAATAAAATGTAATGTTTTGGCAAAAATATCCACATTTATATTTAAGCACTACAACAACTCAAGCTAAATGCGATTTTGGCCAACATTCAGCAACATTTGTCACCTTGCAACAGTCAGTGGCAGATTCCCCCCCCTTTTGAAATTCATTTAATTAATCTGTAATAAAATAGTTAATTTAATGTCTTTTTGCATTTCTGATGTTTGCTTGTAGGCCTATTGCTGGATATGCCAATTTATGTCCAAATATGATTTCAACCCAACCTCAGGAGTTTGAAGGCATGCTGTCCACTGTTAAACATGAGATCATACATGCTTTGGTAGGTGCATTAAACCAAGCTTTTTATCATAGCTACCAAATTTGTTTCTTACTGTTGTTTTTGCTTTAGACAGTTGTTTAGTCTGTATTCTACATGTAGGGTTTTTCAGCTGGACTGTTTGCCTTTTACCGTGATGATGATGGGAAACCACTGACGCCACGACCAGCATATGGCTTACCAGCATTCAATGAAAGGTAACTGGTGGAAATGATAATTTTTGTCTTTGTAAGCATAGTTTGACAATTATATGCTTGATTTCTGCATTTGTTTCATGGCAGTGAACAGTTTTAATGCAGAAACGTTTATTTGTCTTACAGTTTGGGCCTCTATCAGTGGAGTGACAAAGTTATAAGGAGAGCGACCCGATTGTGGGATATCCGTGGTGGTCACATGGTGCGACATGAGGTCCATCTTATGGTCACCCCACGCGTTGTAGTGAGTGTTAGATTTCTTTTTATTTATTTCTGTTTATAATAAACTAGTCTGTTGGCTTCGCAATTTAGGAGCCCGTATAGGGTCTCTCAACTTTTTATTTCTAATATTTGGTTAGGAGGAAGCACGGCGACATTTCAGATGCCCTATTCTAGAGGGCATGGAGCTGGAAAACCAAGGAGGCATGGGCACAGAGCTGAATCATTGGGAAAAACGCTTATTAGAGGTACAGTGAGAGAAACCGTGAAATGCTGTGGCTATGTGTGGGCAAATCTTTCATAGTTATCATGATATATTATGTCACAATACACTTTCCTAAGCATGTCTTGGCTTCGTCAGTACTTAAAGAACATTAACTAAATGTTTCATAACAAAAGTGCAAGTCTTAGTCCTGTTTAATTGGGTTTAGTGCAGTGGAGTTTGTAAAACACTTAAAATCACCGTAGTTGTAGATTTATTATCATTAATATTATTATATTATTGTGTGTGTGGAGCTACAGGTTCTATTTTATCTGTTCTATGCTCATGAAAGCTCAGAGAAACAAAACATCATGATGTATATTGTGTATTGTGAAAATGTCTTTAATTATAATGATATAGTTTTTTTAGCCATATCGGGCACCCCTAGCTGTAGTATTAATGGACCTTAGACTTTGGATGTTTAGTTGCGTTCACTTTTATCCAACAGAATGAAGCTATGACTGGATCTCACACACAGAACAGAGTGTTCTCCAGGATCACACTGGCTTTAATGGAAGATACTGGGTAAGAGATCTCTAATATCTAATTTGTTACAGGATGGATTATGTATCAGGATAATTGATAAGTCATTAGATCTTATACTATACATTGTGAAAGGTTTAGCATTGTAGCTGAGTGCAAACATAGTGTGGTGCTCTGTTTATAGTGTAATGTGCAGTCTGTGGTTAGGATAAGGGCATATTAACAGGACAGTGCAGGGAGTGTTGCAGCAGTGTCTTTTAGCTGAGGTTGTTAGGGTTTACCAGATGGCACATGTAGAAGCAAGAGAGCAGCACAGTAGATATTGGGCTTTAAAGGTTCTCTCGTTTGTGTAAAATATTCATTTGTTTTTGTTTCATCATCATTTTCAATGTTAGGTGGTACAGAGCCAACTACAGCATGGCAGAGAATCTGGAATGGGGCAAAGGTTTGGGTTGTGACTTTGTGATGAAAAGCTGCAAATTCTGGATCGACCAGCAGCGCCATACGTAAGTTGTGTTTCGTAAATTATATCTATTCCTCTTGGACCTCATATGTCAAATCTCAAATACTCTAAATAGGCCTGTCACAATCATGAAATTTCAGCTAATGATTTCTTGCCATATAAATATTTAAAATCAAGTACAAGCTATCTCACTACTTCATCTTTTTTTTTATTTACATTTATTTGCTTCAGTCCAATGCCCCATATGACAGTTTGTTGAAACCTAAACATTGGGCTGTAAAAGGTATTAACTGTGGGGGGAAAAAAGTAGTCAAATAATTGTGATAAGATGATTATGTAAAAATTGTAAAAGGTCTAACTCTCACTCTGTGCTGTCACCCACAAACTTAATTTTATCATAATAAGTGGTCTGATACCTTGATAACTCATTAATTAGCAGTAGAATGTTGAGCGAGTTCATTATTTACACTTGTATTTACACTTAAATGTATTGCAAAAACTCCTCATCACCAAAAGAACTTTACTGTGATTTCAACATTTGATCAAGGCTTTTACTATGAGATGTGCTGTGTGCAGGAGACCCACACTGACGCCATACTGTGACTCTGTGCGTGGCACTCCGCTGCAGCTTTCCTGCAGGCAGGACCAGCTGGCAGTGGCAGTCTGCAACCTGCAGAAATATCCTCAGCCTCTTGCACGGGAGTATCAGGTATGAAAACATCCAGCACTGTCAGTTAACTATTAGATCTGAACGGCAGAGGAACCAGTCAGTTTGCTCAAAGGCGTGTGCAGCAGTCTTTAATTAATGACATAACTGCATGATCCATTGAATTCAAATGTTTTGTGAATGCTGTTATTTAACCTTAAACAGCTTTATCTTCTTTTTTATCAACAATAAAATAAACTTTGTCTCACTGAGCCATATTGGTGCTCTTTTCCACAGTACTTTGACAAAATCTCTGGTGTGCCTGAAGGAGATTTGTCCTTGTACGGAGGTGCAGTGGAGATCGCAGACTTCTGCCCTTTCAGTCAGGAGTTCAGCTGGCACCTGAGTGGAGAGTACCAGCGCAGCTCCTACTGCAGAATACAGGAAAACCAGCCAGGTGTGACTCAAGCTCAGTTTGCTGTTTGCTTTCACTCAGTGTCCTGTGCTGTTTTCAGCCCTTTTCCTGTTTTTGCTGTTCAGCCTTTGTTTAAATGTTTTATTCATACTGAGTACTGGTAGACCTGTTTTTAGAAGAGTGGTTCACGGTTCCAGTTTAGGACTGTGCTGCACAGTGTATATGTGTATATATATATATATATATATATATATATATATATATATATATATATATATATATATATATATGTATGTATGTATGTATGTGTATATATATATATATATATATATATATATATATATATATATATATATATATGTATGTATGTATGTGTGTGTGTGTGTGTGTATATATATATATATATATATATATATATATATATATGGCGACCTGCATGCCTGACCTGCTCCAGGCCATGTTAAGTTCAGAATTTCGGATCATAAACAGTTCTTAGACCAGTCATGGCTTCTGACCAGGCAGGAACCGATGGAGGTGGTGACGGAGGTTTTTCTTTTTTTTTAATCTTTGTAACTATTGTTATTAGTCCAGGAAGCACTGAAGTGGTGGCAGTGGAGACACCCTTGCTTTTTACACCTAAAAGCAGCTTATAGTGCAGTATATGCATAATCAGATGTAACCAAAGCATGGCATTGTGCATTTTAACCTTTAAGGCATGTTTAACTTTGTAAATTAAGATGACTGATGTCATTTTTCTTGTGTTTATTCTGGCAGACTCATGGAGGAACTATGCTGCTGAAGAGTACGGCCCAAACTCTGTTTGTCTGTACCAAAAATCAGCCTTCATTATGGAGCAGTGCAATAAACGCATGACCTACCCAGACTGGGGAAGTGGCTGCTATAAGGTGAAGCAGATTACTGTGAAGTAAAACTATGACTGATCCCTTCCTCAGTAAGATATTAAATCGAAGACCATTTTTCAACTTAAACAGCTAATTAAACAGCTAGTGCCTTTATAGTGGAAATTTGTTGATTTTGTAGGTTAAATCTTCTACAGGGAACGAACAAACTTAAATATGACATTTTTTTGCTAATTTTATTGTGCAATTTATATTTATTTGAGTTTAACATGTTGGAAAAAATAATGCATAAAATATAAAATGTGCCTTAGCCTTTGCACAGGAAACATTTTGTTTTATTTTCTTTGTGAAATTCTGCAAATAAAAATAATAAATGTGCATAAGTGTTTTCTCTGTAGAGGATCCGTTTACTTCTTTTCACTTAGAAAATCAACAAAATGTTATTTGACCAGGGGTGTCCAAACATTTGCATACGACTGTATGTAAAAGTGACATCGCAATTACACTTACTATGAAATGCGCTGTTTTTGGGCCATACGGACTGGAGATTGAATGGTACATTCTGAAACTTAACAACATCCAATGTTTACATGCATAGCAATGTTCAGTTTTCCATGATATAGGCCCTTTAAAAGAAATTCAGCCTTTGAGGTCTTGCATATTCACCCCAGAATACATCTGATCCTTTCAGTGTTGAATTAATAAGGATAATACAAAAAGCACAGATGAACAGAATGCGTTTCTCTGACCGGAGTCCATGGGGTTCTTTCTTTTTTTTTTTTCTACAGACGTCCTGCTCAGCACAGGGTTTGCTGGTGTGGGTTAGGGATCAAAGTTTCTTGTGTGTGAATGCCGGGCAGCTGCTCAGTGTGAATGTGAGGATAAATGAGTGGGTGTACAGTGGCCAGCTGCTCTGCCCCGCCTGCTCACATTTCTGTAGCCACTGCCCCCTCCCTCACGAGCTCCCACCAATCAACACTACTCGCAGTGTCCGCATAGGTAAACTCAGCTTTCTTCCGTATCCATCTCAAACCTGAAAAATTCTGTTTGTTATTCCTCCTATTTACTAAAAGAGTTTATTAATAAAGAGTACATTATACAAGAGTTTATTTGAAATTGCTTTGCTTTTCTCAGACCCGTGCTCCAGCTCTTCTGGCTTGGTGGTGACGTTATGGCGGCTCCTGTTTAACCTCGTCCCATTGCTGGCAGGCTTCATCCTCTGTGTGAGAAACTGAAAGTGGTCACGTGAATGATGTCAGCGAGGGGAGGACATGGGCATTTCACTGCCACAGGCTTCCCTTTGAGATTCTTACATTAGCAGGGAAAGCAGTGTTCAGTATAGTAGACAAGACTGATGCACAAGCTTCCCCTTAGACATGAAGGCCTTTGTGAAAGAAGTTGTTGACGGATGGAAAAAGCCATTGACTGCACTCCGCTCTGTGTAGATATCAAGTGCCAGTCAGCTGTAGTTGAGACAAGAAGCCATAGCCGTGCAAGATGCGTGCAGCAGGTGACCTTGAAATGCTGGTGCTAATTTCTGTTGTGTTTCTATCTCCGGTGGACACGTAGCGTTTTTTCTAGCATTCCTAAAAGGTTTTTTTTTTTTCCTCTTCTCCTAAAGCGGTAATGCTTGTTTCACACATAGTACTTCTGGTTGGCGTGAGCGGCATGGAACGTCTTGCTTTTCATTTTGTCGCTCATGCTAACAGGTCAGAGGTTTCACGCAAGCCCTAAAAATCTATTTGATACATGTCATATTTCTCATGTTAAGATTGTTGTAAGCTCATTATAAGATTAATTCAATTTAGATATTTTACTAGTTTTAAGTAATTTTATTAAGTAAGATTGCATCACTATATCAGCAGATAATTTTGCTTGTTTTACAAAAATACTTATAATAAGCAAGTAAAATTATTTGCCAGTATAGTGAAATAATATTAGACATATCGAGTACATTTAAGATTTCACTTTCCATTTTTTTCCACATGTTGCCGTGCCGCTCATGTTATGCAGAGGTAGTATGTGTGAGACAGAGAACAGTGCTTTAATAGTTGTAGCTCCGTGAATGTGGCGTATGATATGTGTGTGAAGTTGCTCAGACAAATCTGGGAGAACCTCTTAAAGGAGGTGGTTTAGTGGTGGTGTTTGATGGGTGAAAAATTGAATGTTGCTGTTTTGTTTATAATCAGCATGTACTGTATGAAATTGTATTTAAATTAATATTATTAACTGCTTTATTTTGAAAAGCGGATGCTAAAATAACCCATAGGCTCACTTATCATTCGCTCAAATATCTTCACAATGAAATTTTATTTACTGATATTTTCAGTAACAATAAATTGCATTATAAGTGGCTCAATTAAGTGGCAGATTAAGGAGAGACAGTCAGACTAATATAATACACTTAACTAATGTGCTAATTTAAAAACCCAGAGATGTGATACTGTAGTTGTGCGGTTTAATAATGTAGTTTTATCTTCAGTGGCAACCAGGAAATCAGCCTCCCTTGTGGGTGTATATTTCATCCTTGAACAAAGATTTGTTTTATTATTTTATTTTGTTATTTTTTTTTATATTTGCCTTGGATCTGCTGGGATTTGGCCTTTAGAGTCACTTTCACTGAAAAAGTTTAATCGTTATTTCATCATGTCATTCCTTCAAAACATGGACCAGATCCAAGCAGAAGGCCAGTGGCCACAGTATTGCATTTTTTTTTCTTACTTTTCATTTAATGATTGATAATATTATCAGAGGCTAGTGGTAAACATGTTTTGCTGTGCAATTGCTCATTAGTTGTAATTTGTTCTGCTTTATAGTCATAGTTGGCCTGGCTTTTACAAATAAGTCAGAATTTGTTTAATGTACCATTTATCATTACAGATAAACAGATAAATACAGATAAATATACAGATAAACTGGAAAGGCAGCCATGCAGGCTCAGACGTTTACCCATGTGAAATTTATAGTTTGTATTATAAACAGCTCTGGAAGTAGATGCTTTAACATGTAAGTTTTTTTTTTTTGTTGTTTTTTTTTGTCGTTTTGGTTAATATTCAGCTGTTGATTGCTTGACTGACTGCCAGATACCCATTAACTTTGGGTGAAGACAAAACACTGTGCAGAAACATCTGTTTTCTTGAAATTTCATGTTTCTGAATAGCTAAAAGTCTTTACTGTTTTATTACTACATAACTAGATATCTCAGCTAGTAGAGACTGCAGAAAATGGAGGAGTTAGCATTTGGATCTAAACTGGCTTTGTACACTTAATATGATGTTTTGGGTCCAGAGGTTTCAGTCTACTTTTCCCAGTTTATCTACAGCTTTAACATGCTAAATCCTCCATCTCAGTTCAGTTCATTTCTTTAATGTGTTTGTGTTGTGTTTATTTATTTATTTTTTTTATTTTTCACTTAAGTATTTTCATTCTTGGCATAGGACGTTGGTTAAACTTTGGGTTACACAAACAGCAGAACACTGGAAACTTTTATCAAACATGGCAGCTTGTATCTGTTGACCAGTGTTAATGCTTAATGTTAAGGGCATTTAGTTCTACACAGGACATTGTACATGCAAACTGTAATTGTTACCCCTATCACTGGTAGCTTATGTTGGCTGAGCCCTTTCTGACTAATTGAAGGTTGACTTGGATACATGTGTTATTTTCAGTACTTGACAGTGACTCTCAAATTGTAGTGCAACAACACTAGCTTTTTTAATGAACAAAAGAAGTAATGCAGTTATACTCTGAGGGTTTATACCTGCTTTTTACGTCAGTGCAGTACAGTGTTTTAATGTGCAATTTCTGCACTTAAATATAGACTGAATGAGCCTTATAGTCCCAGAGGTCCATTCCTACTGAAGTCAGGGACAGGAGTTTCTAATGCACCAGAATGCCTACCTTCCCATAATTTATTTATACTGCTGAAGGATGGTGTCTACATAGCTGTTTATGTGCATGTCATCTCTCTGTTGGACTGAAAGAATTTCCATTTCAGTCAAAGGTTTATGATGAAAGGTCATTCCCACCAGGTAGAGGAGAAAAAAAAAATCAACTTTTTTTTTAAATTATTCCTCTCCTTCTCTGCTTCTGTCAATTTTGACTTAGTATCTCGAAATAATGACTTATTTTCTCATAATTATTGACGTACTATTTCCAAATAATGAGTTATTCTATTTAGAAAGTTAAACTTTCAAGAAGATAACATAGTAGGTCAGAATTATAAGAAAATAAGTCATTATTTTGATAAGTCAGAATTTAGGGAAAGTTAAGTTATTAAGTATTATGTACCTGCCAGAAATGTGTGGGGAGGGGACTTTTCCCCCTCCGCTACCTGTTGGGAATGGGCTTCCAAAGTTTCAAGACTGTTGTGAACATGATGTTAAATACTGCAGATGTTACAGTAGCTTAGTACATTTTTTAGGTGTTTGACTTCCATCTTTATTGTTTACATTAATGGTAAATGTATTTATTGTGATAACTAATAGCCATTTTTCCCTCTTAATTCTACTGTTTTTTTGCATCATGTTGCCATTATTATACTGTTTGGTTTTCTCACTTTCCTTTATGTGATGTGCGAATGGACTGGAAATGTTTTCCTTTAGCAGTGACATTATTGAGATTATCTAAACACACTGAAACCTCACAGCAAACTTTGTAGGTATTTCACCCGTGGTTTATGTGAAAGATGATAGTACACATCTGTTCTTGTTTTATCATTCTAATACTGTATGTGTTTTTTTTTGTGACATATATATATATATATATCTCAGGGTAGAACACATTCTGCATTGACATATCTGCCCCCTTTGTTTATTAAATTAAATGTGGTCTCAGACACAGATTAAGCATAGGTTTGTACTAAATGATCCTCTCATTTAGAATTTAACACTGATAATATTTTTATCTATGGAATAATGTGTCTCAACTTTGTAATTTACAAATCATATTTTCCAATCACATGCACTAACTACAGTTCATTTCATTTTACAGTAGTCAGGACGGGAACAAAACTAACAAATGAATAATGAACATGCCAAATTGAGAGCAGATTTCTGGGATAAATGGGTCATGAAGGGAAAGAAACTGGATGTATGACAGACCAAAGACAACTCTATGCATAACTCTTAAGGATTCTCCCTCAGAAAACCATATTCCGTTTTGTCATTCAGTTCCTCCCTTCTCCATTTTATGTCTAACTGCACCTTTCATGTAATTTGTGTAGGATTATCTTTGTGTATTGGTTTCACACCCTTGTACGTTGAACATGTATTTTGATGGCAACAATTAAACATAAACCTCATTGTGGAACAAATAAGTACATTTTAGTGTGTGTGTTTTTTTTTTCGTTTTTTTTGTTAGTTTAAATAAACGTTTGCGTTTTGTGTTGAATACAATTTTAAAAATAGAAAAATGGGCGAAAATGAAGGCGCTGCTTGCTACCATGACAACAGCCAACATTTTCAGGAGAGACTTTTATGTTGAAAAAATATATTAAAGGCCCGACTCTTGAGTTCTGTATTTATTACAGCTTTTTTGAGTAAAAATATGACTCTGAGCATAGTGAGTAGATTTACATTTTAGATATAGTGTACATATAAATTACAAACTGTCCATTTTTTAAATTATGAGTTTGAAAAAGCGTTTATACCCTTTAGCTTACTAGAAAGAAGCCCACAAACCACAGAGAGTCACATGATCCAGATGGATACTGTGAGCCCTGGCATGGAGGCAGAAAGCTGAAAAGGTGCATAAACATTTTTTTTCATAACTGTACTTGTCGTGCTCGGATATTTAGAGCTGTATAATGGGGGAGACGTTGATAAAAGTAAATAATTCAGTCTGTCGCCGACATTATTAACATTGGCCGAGCTCACTAGCCCCGTAAACACCTACCTAATCTCGGCTCGGCTCTGGTGAGGCCACAGCGGCTAAAGCTAACTAACGACAATGCAGGTGGAAACAGCGGGAATACGAGTCTCTGAAAGTGAGAACAAACTGGATGTTCACACCCAGAGCTCGACGCAAGGCTCCTTCAGAACAAGCTCCAAAAGTTGGCAGTACAGGTAACTTTTATGCTTTTTAAAATGTCTAGTTACTAAGTCTGATGCTGGCCCGGCTAGTTAAAGTTAGCCGTTAGCCGCCCACTCCTTTGAGCCAAGGCAGTTCAGTCAAATAACATTAACCTTAATTGAATCGTGTTCTCAGTGCATATGTGTTTTAGGAATCGCTTATTTCCCCTTTTTAAGGGTATATAAGGTAGGAGAGTAGTTGTTCTCTGTGTAAGTATTCGGTAGGTCACGAACAGAGGACTTCATGACCCCTTTGTTGGTTCCTAAAAAAAAATCAAGTCATACAGGTTTCTGTTTTGATGTAATTAAAGTCAGGATTGACCTGGCTAATATTATTTTACAAAAGGGATGTCATTATTATGAGGACAGTCTGTAAGTTTTGTTGCTTTTGTATAATAGTTAAATAGCAGGGAGGGACATATGTAAGCAGGTAGCCTACAAGTACTGACAAATGGATAATGTACTCCCTCTTATTTACTGTTTGAAGTGATCACATGGAGAATGTGGATGGATATTTGATGAAGTACACAAATCTGGTAACTGGATGGCAGTATCGGTGAGTACTGGCTCAGAACCTTCACCAAAAAGATAAGTGGTATTTTTCTGTTGCGCTTTCAAGTTATACTGATGTGAGACAGTGACCTTTTGTGCACTGAATGTGTCCAGAAGTGCTTGGAAGCCTTTTCTAGTTAGAGTGTTTGGCCACTTTAAGATGTCAGTTGCACACATCTTGTATAATCCTCATAGAAAAGCACTCAAGTGAATGAGATGCTCTGGAGCAGCCACACATGAGCACACTGTCACCATGCACAATTTCCAATCCTCAGCTAGAAGGCTGTAAAGCTCCCCAGCAATGGGCTGTGGAGTAGTAATACTGTGTTCTTTGGAGTGATGGAGATCCATCCAGTACCTCTGAGAAGAGGTGTAGTGGTATATTTTGATTCAAAATTAATCATAGAACACCAGTACTTAACCTCACTGATGCTCTTGTGGTTGAGTGCGATCATCTTCACAAAATCTAGTGTAAAGCCTTCCCAGAAGAATAGTGACTGTTACTGTAGCAAGAGAAGATTAACTCCCCATTAATACACTTGATTTCCTTAGAAATGTTGGATGAACAAGTGTCTACAAATATTTGGTTATATAGTGTTTATTGAGTTGGTCAACTGACTGGATTTTTTTGGTCTGTCTTTAGATTCTTTGTACTCAACAATGAGGCAGGGCTGCTGGAGTATTTTGTAAATGAGCAGTCTCGGCTGCAGAAGCCCAGGGGCACTCTTCCTTTAGCAGGCGCGGTCATCTCCCCCAGCGATGAGGACTCACACACCTTCACCGTCAATGCCATTAGTGGGGAGCAGTACAAACTCAGAGGTGCTTCTCTCTTTATGTTGTTTCTGTCTTTTTCATTTCTAACCTTTGTAACACATTTGACAGCTGTGTTAATGCTTAATCAGCAAGTTTTCATCAATTGCAACACTGCACAGAGAAGTTAGGACTATTCCATACTTCCTCTCCATATTATGCTTATTTTTAAGTGAAGGTACTTTTTTTATAGAAACTATCACTAGTTTTCATATAAATTGTAGTCATGGTACACTCTTTGAAGGTCATTTCTTATGGTCTGTGTGGACTTTGTGTGTAACAAGCTTTTTGTGTATGACTGTCTCAGCTGCTGATGCTAAAG